TTGACCATTATTGGTAACGTCATGGGCTGTCCACGCCGTTGCCAATGATTGGCAACCATCATTGGCAAATTATAGGCAACCAATAATAAGCCAATATTAAAAATTTTAATAATTTAATAAATCAATTATTTAAAAAAAAATATTTTCTTATTTTTATTATTTTTTAATAGTTATTATTATTATTTTATATTTAATAATTAAATTAAAATAAAAAAATGGTCATCGTAGTATTAGTGAAACCATTTATTCCAAAAAAAAGTTTGTCTCACATCCTAATAAATAGGAGAGACATCGGGCAGAAATAAATTTCAAGGAAAAAGTGATCAAACTCACGAATTCAAACGAATTGACTAACGAATTTATTGAATTCGTGCAGACGAATTAGAAAGAATTAAAGCTTAGAAAACTACTTCACTAAAATCGAACGAATTGAGGGCTCCTACGTTCAATAGAGGCTTGTCGAATTCATGAGAATTGCAACATAGCTCCAATTCGTATTTGTTGCTAAACGGGATTCACCAAAGCTCTTCGTGAATTCAATCCAATTCATATCAATCCTTTTTCGTTTACTGGGTTATTTCAAACGTTAATAAAGGAAACATATAAAAAGTATTTAAGCGTGTGGCGGGATTTTAACATCAAAGTTAAAGAGGTTCAAGATATGCAGATTATTCACAAAAGAAGCGTTAAATATTTGGGCCTATACATAGATAATAGGCTCAAATATAATGACCATGTGAAAATTGCATTGTCCAAGGAAAGAAAGGCTTTTTTCAATCATAAAAACATATTTTATTCCTCTAAACTTAACGCGAGAGTAAAGATACTTTGTTACATGTTATTGATTAGGCCGATTCTGCCATACGGCTGCCAAATATGGTTGGAATATCGCCGTCGGTGATGGAAAAAATCCGAGCTTTCGAGCGGAAATGCTTAGGCGTCTATCTTGGTTTATATAGGGATATCGAGACTGAGTTCCAAAGATACATATATCCAACGCAAAGATATACGACAAAGCCGATACACAAAGATTTAATGTATTTGTTGTAAAGCACACAAGAGATCATATCTTGAGAGCTTGCGAAAATCTAAGGAATCCTTTAATTCCGTTACCCTTTGCGAAGGATGATGATACTCTGAGGAGATTGATTGAAAACTGTTACCTGTCCACCGAGACATTCACGTACCTTGACAAGCGAGGATTTATCCAGGATAGGGCTAATGTTCCAATTTTTTACCCTATTTTAAGGCAGTTGAATGACAGAAAAATTAAATATAACGAAAATAATATAATAAATCAAAACATCGAGATGAAATATTCCATATCGCTACCGACTAGAGATAAAAAAGTTAAAAAAAGATCATTGGAATTAAAATACTGGTGGCTGGGACAGCGTACCTATACAGTAAAAAAAACTAATTCAGATGAATTGAAATGAATTAACTTTTTTGGCAAGGTCCAATTCGTATTTGTCGCTAAGCAAGATTCAGTGAAGCCCTTTGTATATTCAATTCAATTCGTGACAATGAGTTTTTTCGGTTAAGAATTCAAACAAAATGACCAACTCGTCTATTGAATTCGTGCTGACGAATTGAAAAAAATTAAAGCTCAAAAGTTTGTTCATTGAATTAGTACGGATAGAGAGTTTGGAAGTTGAATATAGCTTTGTCGAATTCAGGAGAATTACAATATAGCTCCAATTCGAATTTGTCGCTAAGCGGGATTCACTGAAGCCCAGGGTGTATTCATTTTAATTCAACTAAATTAGTTTTCATTTGCTGGGTAGTAAAAAATAGGAAAAAGAAATAAGAATATCGATAATTGCCTTGTCTCATGACATTTCTTTGTCACTTTCTTTCTTTTGTTTGTGGGTGCAAGATAAATATGAACCGGTTTTTACACATGAGTAGTTTTTTAGGTTCAAGTATGAAGTTTATACAATGTAAGAATAGGTTTACCCATAAATGTAAACAAAAATATTTTATATAGAAATCTCAATAAGTAATGGCAAATACGCGACGAGTGACAATTTGTCCGTTCGACTGTTGTTCCCACAGAAAGTAGATTTCCTAAAAATACCATGAGGAAAAAATGCTGCCATTCTAAAGCTAGGGAAAGTGTGATGTGAAAAAGTTTTTATCAAACAAATTTCAAATTTGAGTCAGTGATAGAGGCAGCGGAAGGGCACTCCATTCAAAATCCATGTACAAGAAAATGTACATGCTCAGCAACTGAACTTGGACCACTTCTGGTGCGGAAAATGTACATTTTCTTGCACCAGAATTTGGAGCAAGATCTTGTATCAGATTTTGTACAATATAATATAAATATTCTTGTACGTATTCTTGTGCAGGTTCATGTACAAGTACTCACACATGAAACCGTTCATGTTTCATATCGCACTGTTTTGAAGATCAGATAACGAGATGTATGACGAAGTAATCGTCAAACCCTAGCGGATTTGATTTACCTAAATTCGACCCAGCTGGGGCGAATCTAAGTCGAATTTAGGTAATTATCAAAAAAAAGCTTTAAATTGATGAAAATTAATAAAAATTAGTATTGTGAGGTTAAATGAACATTTATAGAGTTAATTTTTGTAAGAATTTTAATTATTAACGTGATAAATAATAAATAATCACTTGATATGTGCAAGTGGTAACTGTAGATTTTAACTCGTCAGTTTTCATAATATTTTCAAGAAATTAGTGTAAAATGTGTGAAAAAATAATTTATATTTAATAGAAATTGCAAATTTTATTAAATTATTTTATTATTTATCGAGCACAGTTTAAAATAATTGCAATTTAATTTTAAAAAAAAGGTTTCTTAAAAGTGATAAGAACTCTACTATACCGACAGCAAGAGGATATTTTCAGGTAAGTAAAGTTATTGTAGCGTGTAGTTTTGTTGTGACTAAAAGATGTCGCCTTAGGTTCTATAGTGATGAATATTCATGAATATTTGATCATGAGATTCGATGTTCCTGTCTGATCACTATAGGAACTAAAGCGACATCTTTTAGTCACAACAAAACTACACGCTACAATAACTTTACTTACCTGAAAATATCCTCTTGCTGTCGGTATAGTAGAGTTCTTATCACTTTTAAGAAACCCTTTTTTTTAAATTAAATTGCAATTATTTTAAACTGTGCTCGATAAATAATAAAATAATTTAATAAAATTTGCAATTTCTATTAAATATAAATTATTTTTTCACACATTTTACACTAATTTCTTGAAAATATTATAAAAACTGACAACGACCCTACCGAAAGAGTGGTACTGGAATGGTACTGAATTGGACTTGGCTTGAGTTCCACTTCAGTACCACTACCTGATAACCCATAAGAAGACATTTTTAAAATACTTTAACAATAGTTTTAAAGGTATATAAGATCAACAAACCGTCTCTCACGATATACGTGTAAACAGCAAAAAAAAACATAATAGTTTGTAGAAAATTTCTGTTAAGTTTGGAAATTATATTGCAATCCCTCCTTGAACAATAGACCCCTAGATCCTTTTGTTGAAGGATTAAAATTTTAACCCGAGTTTTATTGCTTAAAAAATTTATAATTTTAATAACTCAACTTTAAAAAATATATATTGAGATTCGTTAATATGTCCAGATTATGAATATCTAAAATTTATCAAAAAATAATTACATTTAAAAAAGTTATAATTTATCTCGTATACCTTAAGTTTGACAAAAAAATGGACATCATTTTTGAATTTAGCTGCCAAAGGACATATCATATGCATAATAATGTATGAAAATAATATAAATCCAGGAAAAACAAATATAATATTGAAATAAATGTAAAGTATTAGTTTAAACATATGTATTGAAAAAGCTAGTCGCTTTTCACTTTTATGAGGGTATTAACGGTAACTCGATCCTTTTCGCAGGTAAATTTCCCAGTTCCATTTCAGTACCAAAATGGACCAAATTAGTACTGAGTTGGTACTGAGCCCTCAGTTCCAATTTTCCAGTACCAATCCAGTACCACCCTTCCAGCAGGGGAGTTAAAATCTACAGTTACCACTTGCATATATCTAATTATTTATTATTTATCACGTTAATAATTAAAATTCTTACAAAAATTAACTCTATAAATGTTCATTTAACCTCCCAATACTAATTTTTATTAATTTTCATCAATTTAAAGCTTTTTTTTGATAATTACCTAAATTCGACTTAGATTCGCCCCAGCTGGGTCGAATTTAGGTAAATCAAATCCGCCAGGGAAATGATATTTATTTGAAAGAAATGGTTATTTCCTGGGCCAAAGATCTTGTTTTTAAGTAAATTTATATTTTTGATACTTCAATTATTTTTGTAATTGACCCAAATGGTCATTTTCGCAACTTTGTGCGCCGATTGACGAGTTCCGGCGAAAATGTACGAACGAGAGGATTGAAGGAGCAGTCGAAGCGGAAATCGACACACACATCATCGATCGTCGATAGGGACCAGCCGGTGGGTCGTGCGTCCCACAACCCTTTTTTATTTGAATTCTCGGGTTTGTTTAAGATTATTGTAATTGCGTCAAGTGGAAATAAATAAAGTTGCATCTGTTCAAATGAGATCGTGAGTTTTATTTCGATGAGTGTCGTAGTTCATTAGCGGCTTATTGGAAGTTGGATGTTCGTTTCATTTTGTCAGTGGTGTCTGTAGTCCAGTCAGCTGATAACCGAGAAAATTGTAAGTATTATTACATTGAGTCCAAAGGAAGTTCTGGTTTCGGCGTTGATTGCGTCTCATCGTGGGTCGACAAATGCGTTTCCTATTACCTTAGATTATTAGTAGTAGAAAAATAATTATTTAATTAAGGGAAGACGCCGTTTAATTCAAGTTTAATATTCCCTTTGTTACAGATGTTCATTTACATACAATTTTGAATAAGAATTAGACGCTTGTGTGACGCGAAACACATGCGCTAACTTACTTATCTAGGTATATAAATAATAGAAATTATTTTAATATAACGTACTTGTAAAATGATAGTACCCAGTCAGAGTTTTGCGTTATGAATATATCGTTTGCTTCCAGATATAATAAGGGCTCATGTTGTAAACGACACTGCAATATTTGAGTAAAAGAATTTAGTTCTTGATCTAGAAAAAGAAGAGTTCCATCTGCAAACTGAACACACAATAGGTCTTTATCTGTAACTCTTCCGAATGGTCCAGTTGTCAAAGACATTGAAATTGAAAACAACTCACGTTCGTATTTTATTTCTAGATTATATTTGTCACCTGTAAAAACGAAATTTTTAGTATACAATTAAATTTTAAACACATATTAGGCTAATTAATTAACTTAATAAGATCCATAATTTTTTTTAACATATTTCCCAGTGGGAAAAAAACCATGTTCGATTTAGAACGTTTCATGTCTGCCAAATAATGTTTTAGAACATTATTTGAACATTTCTTAAAATGTTTCAGAAAATTATTTGTCAGTTATGAAACGTTCTAAAAACGTTCTGAAAACGTTTTAAAACGAAAATGGTTTTTTGCCCTCTGGGTTAACAATAAATATTTTACAAATTAAAAATTAGCTTGTATCAAAATAGTACAACTTGACGATACTAATAGTAGGATATTTAAATAAATAAACTTAACAAGGTTGACTATTGTTTCTGAGTTAGGAATCAAAACTAAATACGCTTTAATTTTGATTAAGATATCCGAATCAAAACTAAGCAAACTTCATTTTTGATTTCAATAACTTGACACAAAATAAAAAAAAGTGATTTTACATTGTTTTAATTTTGTGAGGATCTCTGATTGAAACTGATTTAATAATTTTCAATATACAATTTTCAATTTAATAATGTAGAGTAGGAAAAGAACAAAAATATTCTTACCTAAACCAAATGATTCTTCTATTAAATAAACATCAAAGATACATAACTTCATTGGCATCAAAACAGCTAAATAACATTTTTGTGAACCTCTGAAAAGAATTATTACAAATAATACATATCCTAGTGGGCATCTGAACGTCTAAAAGATGTATGTTTTTGTGCGCCGATATTCTGGGACCTATATGATCATAATTTCTCGAAAATATCATAACGACAACAAAAGGACTTCTTTAAGACATCTAAGAGATGTCTATGATATTCTTGGAACTTTTCAAATATGTTTCTTTTACTATTTTTGCTAAGTTCAAACATGGAAATTATTATATTTAATTGAGAACCTGAGAAAAAACTCACCAAACGCTTGATCGCACGTTCTTAATTCAGTTAAAGGTACAAAAAAATAAAAAAATTAAAATTTGAAATTTTGATTTTTAAAACTTACCACCTCACAGGGAATCAAAATGTTCATCTCTTTTTCGTCTGACTTTTTTGTAAAACGAATATTTTACCTACTAATTAACGAAAACTGATATATTTAAATTTTCAAAATCGTACCTTCATCAAATATTAATAATTAACTGTAAATAGAGTATGTCGATAATATAATTTTCTAATCTCTGTCAACAAAAAGTCTGCGAGAACTTTAAGTCATCTGAAAATTTTCAGATTAATTCGTTCATAACTTCAGAAAATATCCAACTTTTTAGAAAACCGACGTAACGCTCGCTAAAGTTGCTACGTGGAAAAATACGAAGTATATATGGGCAAATCCACGAAACTTTTAACTTTTGTGATTCTCGAATCGAACACTTAAAAATCTGAATTATTTTAAATTAAAACTTTGGGTATCATTTTTTTTGCTAAATTATGTACAAAGGAACATTTATGAACAATATTAGAACAAAATATTTATTTGACAATTAGTTTTATAAGTTAAAAAGTGAAAAAAACTTAAATTTCATTTGAATTTCTTGAAAAAGTTTATATTCTTAACGTTTTTATTTTTGCGGCGTGTAAAATATCACTTCAGCTACTATGGAAATATCTAACAGACATATTTTGTCAAAAAATTTTTACTATCCCATTAGTGTGCCACCACTAAAACTAAAAATATGAAGGTTTGATTAAGTGATAGCACTTTTTAAAAAAATTCAATTTAACGTCTTCTTATGAAAATACCTATTACAGCGTTGGATAAAAATAATAGTTCAATGCATTTGTCAAAAGGTGATGAAAAAACAAAAATTTTAAGACCTTTCTCAATGATGTGCCTCTAATTGTATTCCTGTGGCAACAATTTAAAGATGATAATAAAAGTCGTGATTTCATTTAAATTTATACATTTTTGAAAGGCACAATTGCATTTTTGCTTTAAACAGGTCAATCTATGGTGTGATCGAAACATTTTGATACATATATTTGAACACAAAAACGCCGCTTAAGGATTTTGAGTGAAATAAATTTTATTAAGTTAAGAATATACTGATAACACTTTTTTGGAGTCTTTACCCCCCTCTTTTCTCAAAATTCTGACGTGCTAAGCAAATTTGGGTGCCAGAATCGTGTTCAGAGGACGAAAATACTTTGGAAACCACTCCGATATCAAAAATAAAAAAAGTTGAATACCTTAATAACACAAGATATCTTGGGATATATTGATAATATCCCGCAGATATCCTAGGGATGTCCTATGGATATAAAAAGGATCTCTTAAGGATATCCAAAAAAGCGACGGTTTGGATATCCCATGGATATCTGAGGCTATCCACAAGATATCTTCTGGATATCTCTATAGACTTTCATAAATGTCCTCCAGATATCCCATAGATATCGTCAGGATATCCCACAGATATCATCTGGATATCCCATAGATATCGTCAGGATATCCCACAGATATTTTCAGGATATTCTCAGTATATCTTCTGGATGTCAAGTAGATATTCTCAGGATACTGTTTTTAAAGTCATTATGAGACTACGAGTGAGAATATTCTGTGAATTAAATTTTATATAAATAAAATAAAATGCAACTTGTTTTTCGAGAAAGTTGTTTAATTTGAAAAATTATTAACTAATTTTTTTCTCATTCGTGATTCATTCCTTTATTCATATGCTTAATATTGTCAGAAAATAAATTGGCTTTAAACAATATAATTTCTTCCCCGCACATAACGAATAACTATTAATATTAATTATACATTAAGTGCATGAGTTTATTTAAAAACTTTGAAAAATGCGTTTCAAATATTCATTTAAAATAAATTAGAAGCTCATAAGATTTTTGTTTTTATTATATTACTATTCATTATATTAGCTTAACAATTTTAACATTTAAAAATATATGTTGAGATATTAAATATCCCGTGAATATCCTAAGAATATCCCACGGACATCCTGAGGATATCCCATGGATATCATGCGATATAATATCCAATAGATATTTTGTGGATGTCTTATAGATGTCCTGTTGATGTCCCACAGACCGGCGGTTTGGATATCCTAGGGATATCCCAAGATATCCTGGGGACCATTCTAGGATATCGACCATTGATATGAATATCCTAGGGATATCCTTTTGTTATGAGGGTATGAATTTGTAGTTCTAAAATGTACTTAAACGTGTATACAAAGTGACATCAATGTGCCTGCAAATTAAAAAAAGAAATTTTTTTTTCTTAAAAGTTAAAAGTTTCGTGGATTTGACCATATGTAGCTTGAATAATATTCTTTGGAAATCTACATTAAACACTTAACTGTATAAAAGAACTTTTAAATAAAATATTGCAGGTTAAGTGTGATGATGACCGTAAGAAAAAGTAAAGAGAAAATTCAACAATGATTCGAGTAAGTGATAAAGATTTTTAAATAAATAGTACCAAATAGTCAGGTTTTCAAAATTTTTCAATTTTAAAATTTTGATAACTCTGGATGAAATAGCAAATTATGTAAAGATAAAAATAATGAAGAGAAGATAATAAATATGAAAGACGGTAATACTAGTGGAATCATGCGACATTTTAAAAATTGGCATGAAGTGGAATATAATCGAGCATTTTCTGGTACAACTGGATGTACATCTTCAAAAGTAATGACTATTTCATTTAAATAAATAAATAAACATATATTTATATATATATATATATTTATAAAGACTTTTTATATGAGAGATTCTTTTTCAATCGCCCCAGCCCAAAAAGTCAATGTTCTGGGATTGGCTTCATACTTTGGTAAATTGTTGTCCTATATGATAGTAATAAATCCCTAAAATATAAACTCATTAAAAAAATATTTGTAGAAAGTAGAGGGGGTTGAAGTTTTGACGTTAAGGGTAACATTGTCATTTTCAAATCCGTATAACTATGACAAAAGTTAATGGATTTTAATTTATCTATAATGAATTTTAATGCATTTTTCACGTACTTTTCAAAAATGTATACAAAATTTAGAAAAAAAAATTTTTTCACCCCTTTTTTTCAAAATCAACCCTTATTTTTCGATTTTCACCCCTTCGGGAATTTTTTTTTTATTTTTTTTATTTTCATTGGAAAGCTGAGGTTTTTCCCATAAGCTATGTAAATATGAAAGTGGGATAACAATAATTTTGTGAGAAACAGAATATTAAAGTAGGCGGTGCCGATAACGGGTACACCTGAAGATCATCTTTGAGGATTTAGGTAGCCACCGCCTACTTTAATATTCTGTTTCTCACAAAATTATTGTTGTCCCACTTTCATATTTACATAGCTTATGGGAAAAAACCTCAGCTTTCCAATGAAAATAAAAAAAATAAAAAAAAAATTCCCGAAGGGGTGAAAATCGAAAAATAAGGGTTGATTTTGAAAAAAAAGGGGTGAAAAAGTTTTTTTTTCTAAATTTTGTATACATTTTTGAAAAGTACGTGAAAATTGCATTAAAATTCATTATAGATAAATTAAAATCCATTAACTTTTGTCATAGTTATACGGATTTGAAAATGACAATGTTACCCTTAACGTCAAAACTTGAACCCCCTCTACTTTCTACAAATATTTTTTTTAATGAGTTTATATTTTAGGGATTTATTACTATCATATAGGACAACAATTTACCAAAGTATGAAGCCAATCCCAGAACATTGACTTTTTGGGCTGGGGCGATTGAAAAAGAATCTCTCATATATAAAGATTTTTTAATGAAATTAAAATTTTTAACTGTTATTTATAATTTTAAAAGTTTTTTTAATTGGTTTCCATTCAATTTTCTATTTAGGCATTTGATCAAGATATCTTTAATCGTATAACTGTTGAATGGGCAGCAAAAAAATATTTGCCAATTAATTTTTTTGACGACGAAGTCACTCAAGAATATTTTAATTACATAAATAAAGACGTTAACGTACCCAGAAGAAATTTCTTACATTCATTGATTGAAAAAACATTTTCAGAAATGCAAGAAAATGTAATTCAAAAATTAAAGAGTAATTCCTCTAAAATATCTTTCGCTTATGACGGATGGACATCTATTTCTACTACATGTTTTTACGGCATTACTGGTATAATTTTTTTATTTACTTTAATAGATACAAAAAAAATTAATATTTACTGCAATACTTTTTAAATTTTATATATTTGGCAATGTAAAATCTTACTCTCTAAATTTGAATTAGCGAAAATTTCACTGTTTGAATCAGCGAATAAAGTTTTCACTACAAATCAGCGGTTACAGCTAATAAAATAGCGAAACACGAATCGGCGAACGTCGGTCATTTTCGTCGGAATATAAATTTATTTTAAAATGGAGTATTCCGCTGATTGAAATAGTTGTTAGTCGCTGATTCGCAGCTGCATACTTATAGCTTTTTCAATCAGCGACTATTCGCTGCCAATCAGCGGATTTTAGCTGATTCAAATTTAGAGAGTAAAGTTATTAAATTAATTTTGTAACTTAACTGATCGACATACTGAATTATATTTTGTGAATTTTATATTGAAAACAAGTTTTTTACGCATTATATCGATTAAGTCAAAGTGATACAAAAGTTTAATTATAATAGACAATTTTCGTAAAATATTATAGTATAACGTAAACGGTTAATTCTCTTTATTTTAAAAAATTCGAAAAATGCATTTATAATGTAAATTTTTATTTAGGTCATTATGTTGATGATGAGTGGACTTTACAGTCTTTAACTCTGGAGTTCGCTCCAGCCAACGGTGGACATGCAGGGGTCGACGTGGGTAAGTTATTCCACGATTTCTTAAAAAAATTTTATCTTGGGAGAAAAATAGGAGGAATTACTCTAGATAATGCGGCGAGTAATACGTCATTTATAAGAGAACTTGGACAATTATTACAACAAAGTGAGATTCATTTTGATACTGAAGACCAACATTTTAGATGTATGGCCCATATCGAAAATTTAGGGGTCCAGAGTTTTCTTTCGGAATTAAATCTTCAAACAGAAGAAGATCAAGTAACTGAAAATACATTTAGTGATGATGACGAAGAACAGGAAATCCTTTCGGAAAATTCGAAGAAGCCAGAAAATCTATTACCCATCGGTAAACTGAAAAAATTATTTATTAAAATTAAATACTCCGAGCAATTGCGAAACAAACTAGAATGCTGCTGTGTCTCCACTGATACATCATATCTAGCTCCAGGTATTGACAGCAAAACAAGGTGGTATTCGACATTTTATATGGTTGAAAAAGGGAAAAAATTGAGAAAAGCTTTGGAATTAGTTTGTCTTTCAAACAAAGAGTTACTAGATTATTATTTATCTGAAGAAGAATGGGAACTCTTAGAAGCAGCACACAAGCATTTAAAATTATTCAAATCATTTTCAAAAGCTCTTTCTGGAGAAAAATATGTCTCTTTACCTTTGGTGATAATTGGACTAAACTTGTTGCTGGATCAAATTCTAAAAACTATCGAAGACATTGATAAGAGCACCGCAGTAACCTTGATTAATATTAAAATAAGAAATGCTCTAGAAGCAGCACATGAAAAAATAATAAAGCATTATAGAAAATGTAATTGGGTTTACTGTGCTGTTCTGCTACTGGACCCTCGACATAGATTGACTGTGTTTGAAAAAACCGAATGGGGAAGGGCGATGAAAACTTCAATTAAAAAATTCGAGGAAATATACAGGAAAGAATATTACATTGATCAGGGCAAAAATTTAGTTGAAAATTTGGAGGCAGAAAAGGCAGTTGATCCGACTTCTGATGAATCTTCTGATGATGAAATTGATTTCTTAAGTTTGTATAGACAAGATAATTTAAATCAAAAAATGAGAAAAAATAAAAATCTTAATACAAACTCTAAAAATTGGAGATCCGAATTGGATTCGTATTTAAAAACAGATTTATCGCCTGCAACTACAGACATTCTCAAATGGTGGAAGGAACATCAAACCATATACCCTAATTTAGCGCGAATGGCAGGAGATCTTTTTGGCACTCAGGCCACATCAGTCTCAGTGGAGAGACTTTTCTCCCGTTTATCATTGACTGTTCGAAAACATAGAAACAGATTAGGGAAAAAAGTTACCCGCGAGCTACTTTGTATTAACGATTGGACAAAAAAACAAAATTTTTCTATTTTTAAATGCGTACAATAATTTATCTTACTTGCAATCTTTAAATTAATAAATTATTTATTCCATGTATAATTAAAGAGTTAAAAACGATTTATTAAATTATACATACGCTTAATAAAAATGATTTCATAATTTCTAATGAAGTAATTAATTAAATTATTCAATCTATTTATTAAATTAAATCATTATCTATTTAATGACATAAGAATTTAAAACATTATTTACAGTCTTTTTTAATTGTTGCAATTAAGAATACGTTAGAATTAAAAGTTTTAATTATTTAATAATAAATATAATAACGTAAATTGGATATCTACTTTTTATCAATTTATTAAGAAACTAGTATTATTTAATAAATAATACTTAGCAAAAATTGACATTAAATTAAACCAAATAATACATTAAATAAAAATTAACGATTTATTCCTTAATAATTCATTATTTATTTCAATTTATTTAATTTATAGTTTGTAACAATGTGTAATTTTTAAAATTTACATGATTAGAATTATACCTAACTAATTTTAATTTATAAAAAAAATTACCACTAATTCGATAAATTTATTTGATTTATACTTTTTAACAATGTGGAATTATCAAAATTAACATGGTTAGAATAATAAATAACTTCAATTTGTTAAAAGAATTATTATTTTTCGATAACAGTTATTAATATATTAATAGTAATTTATTAATCTTTTAACCAAAAAAGTTAAAATCATTTTTCTATTAACCTCCGTTCAATTTTTACATGTTTGAATTTGCAAAACGAGATACTCGTAAAGCTCGCTCGGATAGTCGAGAAGATCGTTTTATTAAAACAAAACAAACTATATTCTCGGTTGTCAAAATTAAAAAGTCCGATTTTCTCGCTCGTTTCTCGGATCGTCTTGCTCATATGCATCACTAATTTTGAAAAATAATTATTATAAAAACAAATCTACTTTCTTAAAAATATACAAGTGGGAAATGCACATTACTGTTCGTGCTATTAATTTATAATTAACAAATTGTGAAACTATATTGCGGACATTAAAAACATTTTTCAATGATATATTTAAAAGTAATATTATGTTTGATAGATGAAAATTAGTTGGAACTTATTTTTGTAAAATCCAAAATCGTTACGACTATAAAGCTTCCTCTATGAAATAGCAAAATAAATTAATTTAAAATAAATTAAAACTTTTTATCATTTAAAAACACTAATACATACATATTTAAGATGTCATTACTTACGACACGAATTTTCCAGCCTTTAAGTCCATAATACAGTCAGATAACTGTGTTTCAATTATTAAGTCATTTGAAGAATAGGAAATAGGAAATTTCATTTCAATCCATCGAGATAGTATATTGTATATTTTTAAAATACCTTTGCTGTTACCAATGACAATAACATCTTCCTTTTGATAACTTAATAAAGGAGCTACCAAAAGTTTTTGATTATAAAATCGTTCATTAGTATCAAAATTTGTCCTCCACCATTCTTTTGTTTTAAACAAAGACATAGTTAAGCGTAAGTTGTAATATTATTTCGGTAACAGGTTATAGTCAAATGAAATGTCATGTTGTATTTTGAATACTGAACCCTTCTGTTACTATGGAAACAACATAAAACATCAATGCTTTCAGCACACGTGGTTGAAAGATATCATATCGCCGGAAATTTTTCATTACTTTTGTTTTTCTAAAGTTGTAAATAATAAAATTTTCATTTATTATAACAGAATTTTGTTATTATCTTTATTACACCAAATTATTATTAGTATTATTAATTTTTTATTTTACCCAATAATAATTATTAATTAATTTTTTAAAATATTTATAATAGTAATTCTTTATAATTAAAATTATTATTATTGTTATTAATAAACATAATTAAATATTTTTATTAAATAATTGTAATAGTTATTATTAATTATTAAAATTTCTATTAATAGGTATTAATATTACACAGATAGCATGTAAGCTTGCTTTCCGCAAGCTTCAAATGTCCCACCTAACCCAAGCTTTCATGGTAAGCTTTCCGAAAGATTGCAGTGTAAGGTTACTGGAAGATTACACAGTAAGATTATCGCAAGATTGCTAAGTAAGCTTGTCGCAAGGTTGGTGCAAGGTTGCCAAATAACCTTTGCCAATCAGCACCTTGCACCAACCTTGCCACAAGCTTACTATGTAAACTTGCGATAATCTTATATCACGCAATCTTGCAGTAACCTTACACTGCAATCTTTCGGTAAACTTCCCATGCAATTTTGCGATAATCTTACTGTGCAATCTTGCTGTAACGTTACACTGCAATCTTTCGGTAAGCTTACCATGCAAGCTTGGGTTAGGTGGGACATTTGAAGCTTGCGGAAAACTTGCCGTGCAAGGTTGGCAATATTGCGCGGCAAGCTTGCTGCAAACTTACCTGCTATCTGGGTATTAGATGTAATTATTTATAATAGTATTTTATCTTAGATTGTTAAGTTTCAATTTCATGTATAGCAAAGTTCCCAATTTTCCACAGTTAATAAGTGGGCGCCAGATGGGGCATATCTGGTCTTCTCAGTTTTAAGAAATTTTGAACATTACTACAAAATAAAGCCATAAAATTGTATTATCGTTATCTTATAATCAATTAATTGTTTAATTGCTTATTTAACTTAAAATATTACATAGTCACACAAAATAAAAAGAATTTGGGGTTCCACCGGGTTCCACAGTGGGCCAGAAGGTAGGCTGGTTCATAATTTACTGCGGTTACGGAATGGAGTTTTATGATCTAAAATTTCATTAGTACATAACTCCAATTTAAAAATTATTATTTTTTTAAACAAAACAAATGAGTTAAATTAACATTAATCATTTAATTTAATCTATTCAATTTGTAATTTTAATTTTTTTATTAAATTAATTAATTAATATCTCAAAAACAAAAACAAGACATTTTCAATATTTTTTGTGTTGATAGCATGGAGTAGTATAAGGAGACCCGACGGCCATGAGAATTTGACAAGCATCGTGGACTGATTTTCGGTTTTCTAATTCACAGCGTTTGTCAAAAATGCTCAGCTAGCGCTCCTCGCGGAAAAAATAAGTACTGCGTATATTCAAAATTTTATAACCAAACAAATTTGTTTTATTTTACAATGTCATCATGGCAGTGTCTCTGTGCATATATTAATTTTTTTGTGAAATAGTTATTTGTCAAAAATTTGTTTTGTGTAAGTGTTAAAATGCCTCCAGTTTGTGTTGTCGAGAATTGTTTAATGTCTGTGTTGTTGAAGGCGGGAAAGAAAATTTCTCTTTTCAAAGCAAAGGTTTTTTTTTTTTTTCAAATTAAAAAATTGTCATGAAATTAGTACATGACAATATTATTTATAGATAAAATATTTAATTAATGTGTTAGGAAAATGCGATAGAACACCATCTGTCATGAGGTAAAAATTCATCCTTCATATTGCTCAACAGATACTTGTAATTAAATGGATTTTTGGAGTCATCCATTTCCGTAGATTTCTGTTTAAAAACCCTGTAACAACAAACATTTTTATATATAATAATATTATGAATATTACTGAATTAAAGAATTATTCAGTTGCAAAAAAGTACATAATTTTAGTCGTTTAGTCATGACCTATTCTGGTTATTATATATTATATACATGGAATTCTTTTACTTACTAGTATAGTTTATAATAGGTTAATTCTTTCTTTCTCACTGGACACATATATTTCACTTATAATTATACACGAAATATTTTAAATATTTTATATAATTATTTAATGCTTTTAAATAATAAACAAACCATTTTTGTTTCTAATATGTCATGAACATAACATTGTAGCAGACGACATTTATTGCCTCCTTTCTCCGCGAGGAGCGCTAGCTGAGCATTTTTGACAAACGCTGTGAATTAGAAAACCGAAAATCAGTCCACTATGAATGTATGTCGTCGGGTCTCCTTATACTACTCCATGGTTGATAGTATACATTTTAAACTTTATAAAAATAATTATTCATTTTTCAAAAAAATTGTATCCCCTTTTCCTCTTACAGTTTTTAATAAAACCTAACAATATTTCGTGGTACTCACCCATAAGGCAAAATATGTTAAATATATCGACGAATAATTAATAAAAGAATTAAAATCAATTATGTATCAAAGCAATGTAATGATAGGAACGAAAATGTAAGGACAATTTATAAATAATTTTCTAAAAATAAAAAATTAATAATCTTTTACTGTTATAAAGTCTCAAAATATTGTCAATAAATATAAAATACAGTATTTAATATTAATACTAAATTATCTTATGTTTATCAATTTTATTTTCTAAAATTTATTCTCATGTAGACAATGTAAAAATATTATTATTACCAAATAGATAATTCAATTAAGAAATAGAAACTCTTAAGATTACAACAGTCTTTTACGATTTGTAAATTCGAATTACAATATCCTCCAAGTACTTATAAAAATATTTATACAAACTGTTATAAAAAGTAATTCATTCATAATTTATACGTGTATACTTTATTGTCTATTGATCATAATAAGGCAGATTCTTTAATTCATTAACGACATCTATAGCTACCTGAAACCAAAATTTTGTTTCGAAATTAATATAATAATTAATTTCAATAATATTTCTAATATACTTACATCTTTTACAGAAGAATCTTTATCGACAGTTAAAGTTTCTAGACTACTTCTCAGTGATTTTTCCCAAATATGCTGTAAATCTCTACAGCAAAATTTACCAAGATGCTTAATTAAAATGCAAGTTCTTAATCTCAAAACAGGTTGATGATGACTTAATAATTTTTTTAGTTGCTCTAATTTACTCTCTTTCGTCTCTGAAAAAATTAAAAAAAGACTTAAGTAAAATAAATACATTAACTATTTAAAAAAAAAACATCTTTTTCTTTCAAAACCCTAATAAAAAAATTATTTTTATTATTATTATAATACGTACAAACTTTGATAGTTTAATTTAATCTTAAGCGCGATTATATTTAGAGCTCTCAGGAAGTTTACAGTTGAATAAAAAGCTATGAACTTCACAGTGTTAACTTCTTGTAAACTTCCTGGATAATTATAGTGCTATTTGGATGTATGCATCCTGATACACAATAATTTGAAGAAATTAAAATTTGATTGAAGGAAACTTCTACAACATAAAATTGTCTTCTGAATATTCTGGATAATTAACTTTATAGAATCGGCATGCGCGTCTAATTTGTCCTCAAACTTACCATTATCTTGAACTCTCAAAACTACTTTCTCTATTATTTCAGCATTTTCCGGTTGAGATCTTAAAACATTATTAAAAATTGCCAAAAGATAGCCGACGACTCCAGGCTTTTTATTTTCCAGTGTGAGTAATTGTTGTAGAAGTGGAATTCCACTGATTATGTAAATTGCATCGCAAAATTGAGTGAGAAACTGCTCTTTTACATACACTAATCTGCACAATAGTAGAATATTTCGTTCAATTGCCTGAAGTTCTTCACCAGAAAGAGACAAAGCTGATCTGGTGAGAAATTCAGCGGTAGTTTCATTATCATCTCCTTGGACCATAAGCAGTTTCAAACCATGCACGAGATTGGGAACGACTCGAACATCAAGATAAACTTTCTGAATTAATTCTAAATTGCTGGATGAAATTTTTGCGACGAACGGAAGTGCAAGTAAACAAGCAACGTACTCAATGACTTGAGATCCCACTGCTGGATTTCTAAGTGGAGAAACAAAAACAGATACGCAATTTTCCTGAAGTAAAGATCCAATTTCTCCATCCATAATTTCTTCCATAGACTTTTGAAGAAAAGCAACCCATTCTTCGTTCTCAATTGGTTGTTCCACAGCTCGAGGATTCCAATCCGGCAATCGCATTTGTTTATCCACTGTATTTTCCTTGCCAAATTCCTGATCATAATCTTTACTTAAACGACTCTGTTTCAAAATTTCTTTCTCTGAATTTATCTTCAAAGAACGAACATTTTCGTTTTCAATCTCTGGATCTTTATGTTTATCATTTTGATTATTTGCAGCAGAAATTTCTATAGGAAACTTCGAAACACATTCAGGCTTTTGTTCAATGTCTATTTTTGAAATAGGACAGTTTGGATTAATTAATGTTTCATGATAATAATCAGAATTTGGACAATCCATTTGACAAGCAGCGTGATCTGCGGCAAGAAGGTCACTTTGTAAAGATGCTCGTAAACTTAAATTTCCAAGAAGAACGTCGACACTTGTGTTTGAATCTGTTCCATTCGGTTCACTGCGCCGCAAGACTGGACATGGCTGATTCATTCCATAAGCATAATAATTGTACAAAACAGGAAAACGTGGTTGTGAGATACACCCTCGTCTATGGATTTCTCGTAATTGTCGCTCATGTTCTTGAACTTTCATTACTGCTCTTTCCAATATATCTCTGTGAGAGAAAAAAAATGTTAATAATAATTCAACCACGGAAAAGAAAATTTCCACAGTTAATTACTATTTATATTAAATTTTGTTTAACAGACGATAAAGAAAAAATTATAAGACAATAAAATACGCAATTTTTCACAATTAATTAAGAACTTAAAAAAACGGCAATTATTTTTATAAAAATGTTGAATATGTCGTTATAACCGGACGAATTTTAACAATTTTCAATAAAAATACGTCGTTATAAGCAGATGATCGTTATAAACGATGCCACTATAAACGGACTCATGTTTATAGTAATTTTAATGTAAACCAAACTAAAGGGCTTTTATAAATTAGTTTCTATGATAATCAAATAATATGTTATCAATTTGAAATTGTATAAAATTGAACCATCTTAAATATATCGTATTTCAGATTAGGTTCAGCGAAAAAATATATGGTCATTTAAACTCAAATAAGGTATTCTTATCTTTTCAAATTTGTAAGTAACATATTTTAAAGTTTGACCAATTCAAAGAAATTAACACCTGGCTGGTTTACCCCAGTCTTCCCTAAGTAAAAATTTCATTAAAAAGAAATTCTGTTAAATGTTAATTTGAGAAATGATAATTCGCCTAAAAATTAATTAAATATAATAAAATTATTTAAAATGATAATTTTAATTAATGATTTTTATGGGAAATATAAGCGTTCCTGGACTGATTCGTAAAAGATTGCTCATGTTATCCTTCAGACAAAGTTGGACAATTTTACAAAGCCTACTTTTTCGGCATCAGGAGATTTTATAACGCGAAGATTCACCGGAATCAGAAAAAGGCCAATAATATAGTAAAATAATTTTTTTAAAAATATTATTACTTTATCCAGCATTTTATCCGTTTTTATTCCACTTCTTGTCCTTTTTACGAACATGAAGTAATTCCATATCTTTTTTTGCAAAACTTTTATGATTCAATTATTACATGAAAATGCGTAAAAAAATGTAAAATTTAAAAAATTCAAAACTTTATCGTATTAATAAATTTTTATCAAAAATGTTAGAGGAAAAGTGTTTAGTTTCAGTCGTAATTCAAAAAATCAGTTACATCAGATAACAGGAAGTCTACTGTATTAATTGTATAATATTTATTTAATTTAATTATTTGATTAAATTAGTAGGTGTTTTAATTAATTTAATATTAATATTAATTAAATTAATTAATTAATCTACTGTAATAAATATTATAAAATACTAACTTTGATTTGTTCGACTTTACGTTCAGTATATGAAATTGTTGTTGCTTGGCTTTCTCTTGACTGGCAGAAAGTGGAGTAGTGAGAGATGTTGGTACAGGAGTACCTACAATAATAATTCTATCTTTAACGAAAGGATGTTCCAGTAGGCTCGGCCAAGTCAAACGTTGAGACGGATCTTTTTGTAATAAACCCTAAAAAAATTAAATTTAAGATAATTACAAAATTTACTCCGTAATCAATTCATTTGATGAAATTATCAAACTTTCTTACTTCGAGAAAACTCTTGCAAATGCTTGTAATGTGAGATGGCCACTTAACAGATTCGAATCGAATGAGTTTTATCAAATGCAGAATAGAAGTGGTTTGAAAAGGTGGTATCCCAACAACTAATTCGTAAACTATGCAACCAAGGGACCTAAATATGAATTTTTTGAGACAATCAAATAGAAAAGCACTTTATTAATTGAATCGTGAATTTCGAAAAGGACTCAACTCGAAAAAGCGTAAGTGTCATTTTCCCATAAAAATCGATAGTGAAAATGATTCTTACGTTTTTCAGAGTTGAACCCACTCTACTCTGACAATAATTCTAAAATGCCAAGCCAAATTTCACAGCAAAAACACTGATCCTCCAGTGCATATACGCTTTTTAGAATTAGTGGTATTATCGCTATTTCAAATTTATAGGGCATTTTAGACTCACTTAAGTTCACAAATACAGGTAGTTTATTTATATACTTACCATAAATCAGCATTATGATCATAAGGACGTTCTTCTATTAATTCGGGTGCCATATACAGTGGAGTTCCTTTTATAGAAGTCAGTACATGAGTCCCTGTACTCATACTACGAGCAAATCCAAAATCACACAATTTTGCCACGCCATTTGTTTCAAGAAGAACATTCTGGGGTTTCAAATCTCTGTTTAAATTAATTATTTCCTTTTTAAATTAGCTCATAAGATTAAAATTCTTCTTTACATTATTTCAGGTTTTGCAGTCCTTAGTTAGTAAATAAAAATTATCAAAAAGTAGTTTCCAAGGTGAAAAAAATAGGAAAAAGTATATTTTTACATTCACAAGAACAATCATCTAATTATTTATTTAATAACAAATTAATTTAACATCAATTAATAAAAAACATTCCCTTAGTTATAAAAAAAAAATTTAAGAACCAAATATTTAACTGATAAATAAATAAATAAAGGGTAGAATGACAAAAGGGGACAAGCGCGAATTCACTGTTTTAATTAGTTTATGTAATCAGAAAAACGATTTTTTTTTAAATTCGTCGCTAAAAACACAAAAATTAAAAATAAAACAAAGCACCTGACGGATTTTGATGTTACTTTTTGAAAAATGTACAGTGAAATGCTCTCAACAAGTTGCAACAAAAATCGACGAAAAGAAGCTACTTGAGAGTTAAAATTGATACCAGGGTACCGTGCATAAGTAAATATACGTTACATATTGTAATCTTTTGCATTATTAGAAGACAACATTTGAAGTTAAAATTTTAATAAATAATATATAAAAATGAGCCCTTGTCAGTACGTTTTTCGGGAGGATTTTTATAAAACATTTTTCCAAAATCCAAACAAATTTTGTTAGCAAATAAGTTCTTTAAGATCGCAGTGATTCGTTACATTTTATTTGTTTAATTTTTAATATTTAAGAACGTGTAAGTATATAAAATTACAAAAAAACTTGTTTTCAAAAAGATTTTGTTTGTGTATTATATTGTATTATACTGTATCAAATTATAAATTAACGAGCAAAATTAAACGCGCGCAAGCGCGCCAAATTGAGTATTTAATTGTTTGTTATAAAGAAATTAAAGATTAATATTATCAATAATAATTTAATTTAATAGAATATTATTACATATTAAAGGATAATAATGAAAATTATATGTTTCAGGTCTCGAATGATACGACTTTTTCCGACTTTTTTCAAAAATACGACTTTTATCGACTTATTTTAATAAAATGCGACATTTTTTTTTACATTTGAAAAAAATGTAAATAAAATACATTTTTTAGTAGTATAAAATGTAGATCTTCTTCAATTCAATTATTTAACAAATTTTGAACTAAAATGATTCTTCACTAAATTAATTATTTTTAATAATTTTAATGAAAAACATCACAAATTCAATTATATCAAAATTATTTTTCAACTAAAATTTTTATGAAATTTAACAATTGTTTATAATTTAAAAAAAAATATCACAATAAAATTGAATTATTTTTTAAAAATTTCAATTCAAAATAAACTAAAATTCAATTATTACCCGAAATTTTAATTCAAAATCAATTAAAAATCCAATAATTATCCAAAATTTTCAATTTAAAATTTAATTATTTACCAAGTTTTCAATTTAAAATGAAATAAAATTCAATTATTTTCTAAAATTTCTATTCAAAATTAATTATCCAAAATTTTCAATCAAAAATGAACTTAAATTAAATTATTATCCAAAATTTCAATTAAAATTCAATTATTTCCCAAAATTTTCAATTCAAAATGAACATAAATTCATTTATTTTCCAAATTTAAAATCTAATAAAATTTCATTATTCTCAAAAATTTGAATTCAAAGTTAATTGAATTTTCAATAATTTGAATTTAAAAGCATCTAAAATTTAATTATTTCTAAAATTTTCCATCGAAAATTTTTTTTTTGAAATTTAATAATTTTAATTATAACTCTAAGGAAATTAAATTATTTTTAACTATTTTGATAATATTGTTTGAAAATTCAACTATCTGAAACCATTTTTCAATTAAAAATGATTTTCAAATTATTGTATTTTGTCCGCATTTTCTAATAAATTTTTAGTGAAATCATCTAAAATTTTAATTAAAAATCACTTGAAGTTTCAATTAATTTCAAAATTCTCAATTTTAAATCTTTGAAAATTCAATTAAATTTAAAAAATGTTTTCCAAAAATTGTTTGATAAATTATTTTTAGTTCTGTAAAATTTAATAATTGTTTGAAAATTAACAATATCTTTTGAAATTTAATTATTTCTAAAAATTTCAACTTTAACCCTTCGAAAAGGATTATTATTAAAAAAAAAATTTTTATTTAAAAATCTGTAAAATATTTTTGTTAAAATAAAAAACAAATCCACTTTTTTTTGGAATATAAATCGACTAAAACGACTTTTTTGTGTCTTTAAGTTGAGTCGAGGCCTGTGTTTTTATAATTAATATTTAATAGGTATTCGTTGGCCCCTGGTACCTTAAAAATAAATTTTTTTCAAATTACTGTCTTGTACGAAATTTCCTGGCGCATCTTTTTTCTCATTATAAATTTTTTGTATTTGTATACAATTTTTGAATCAATATACAACTTTAAAAAAAATTTCGTTGGTAAACGTTGTGTACTTCAACTTCGTGAATTGAATTTTCGAATTTGGAATTTTAAAGAAACTTATTCCGAAATTTGGAAACACAATTATACAACTTTGGCAAAAATGAGAAAAAGAATTGTCAAAATTTGACACGTCCTAAGATTAACATTCAAAAAAACACGTGAAATCAGAAAAGGCCAACTTCAATTTAGGACAGAAAGACAGACCAAGCATTTTATTATTATATAATTTATAAAACTAAAAAAGACTGCATTGTGAATCTGTCTGGTGATTGACGGATAATTGAGGTTCCAGTGTATTTAACTTAACCTACTATTTCTACCTTATTGACACGGAGAAATCGATAATTTCATCTTGAAATTAAAATTAAACCAAGTGATAAATTCGAAAAAATATTTTTTTACATATAATAATTTTGAAGTTTTAAGTAATATTCATAAAGAAATTTTAATTTTATGTATGAGGCAAAATTCCTCAAGTGTCACAGGTCAAAAAATGAAGTTTCTTGGATCGGGCTAAGATTTTCAGGAATAGTTGTCTGATTGGCTAAGACTTTAGGCACGGAATATTTTTAAGTTTATTTAAAAACTGTGGGATGTGGAGAGGGTTAAATTTTTTCTTTTTTGATGAACATCCACTTTTTCAATCTTCTGTAAATTTTTTCCTTTTGTATGTACAAAAATTTCATTCTAATGTTTGTGTAAAAATACTTCGTGTCTGAAGTTTTAGCCAATCAGATAAGAATTCTTGAAAATCTTAGCCCGATCCAAAAAACTTTATTTTTGGACCTGTGACACTTGAGGAATTTTTCCTCATACAGATAATCTAGTATAATAATTATTGATGAGCACAAACCTGTGTAATACTCTATTTGAATGAAGATAGTATAGTGCAGAAACTAGATCACAAGCTATTACTTGAGCCCTTTCTTCTGATAATCGACCTGTCTTACCTATAATTTCATATAGATCTTTATCTGCATATTCAGTTACTACGACTATCTGCAAAAAAATAGATAATAAAATGATAATTAAACAAATTAAACAAATTTGTTTCGTTCATTAAACCAAATCGAAACTAAGTTAACTTTTGACTCTGATTTCACAATCAAATCCTAGAAACGTGACTTTTGATTTTGATTTTGGAATCAAAACTTAAATAAACTAGACTTTTGATTCAGGTACCAGAATCAAAACTGAATAGAGTTGACTTTTAATTATGATTTCGGAATCAAAACTAAACAAACTTTACTTCTGATACCGACATCAAAAGTCGATTTGACTTTTGTTTCGTTTACAAACCCGAATAAAAATTATATTTAATTTCGTTTCATTCACCAAACCGAATCAAAAGTCTTTTCGACTTTCGTATCGTTACAAATATCGAAACAAAATCAAAATTCGACTTTTGTGAAGGACTTTGATAATAATTAAATTTGAAATGTTAAAATACAAATTTTTTGATGATTTATGAAGAAACGTATTTTTGAATTTAATAATTTATTTGGTACAAAAATCATTATAAAATTAATTTAAAACGGTAAAGATGTAAATTATTCCTAGTCACCTGGTTATCAGTTTCAAAAGAATCCAACATTTGGACAATATTGGGATGGTGTAGGTGACGTTGTATTTCACATTCTTGGCGTAAACTTTTCAATTCCTTTTCCGATCGACCTCTCTATAAGATTAATTTTTATTAATTTACAATAATATTTTAAAAATTGTTTGTGTACAGTAGAGAGTGATCCATAAAAATTTAAAGTACTGAATATTTATTACAATCCTAAGAATTGTACTTTATTGAAAAAGAAAAGACACGTCTCTAGATATATTCTATCTCAAATCGTTCCACTTTCAAAATACGATCGTTACCCTAATAACACAAGATATCTTGGGATATATTGATAATATCCCGCAGATTTCCTAGGGATGTCCTATGGATATCAAAAGAATCTCTTAAGGATATCAAAAAAATCGGCGGTTTGGATATCCTTTGGATATCCCATGGATATCGTCAGGATATCCCACAGATATCATCAGGATATTCCATAGATATCGTCAGGATATCCCACAGATATTTTCAGGATATTCTCAGTATATCTTCTGGATGTCAAGAAGATATTCTCAGGATACTGTTTTTAAAGTCATTATGAGACTACGAGTGAGAATATTCTGTAAATTAAATGTTATATAAATAAAATAAAATGCAACTTGTTTTTCGGGAAAGTTGTTTAATTTGAAAAATTATTAACTTATTTTTTTCTCATTCGTGATTCATTCCTTTATTCATATGCTTAATATTGTCAGAAAATAAATTTGGGAAAATAAAACAATATAAATTCTTCCCCGCAAATAACGAATAACTATTAATATTAATTATACATTAAGTGCATGATTATTATTTAAAAACTTTGAAAAATGCGTTTCAAATCTTCATTTGAAATAAATTAGAAGCTCATAAGATTTTTGTTTTTATTATATTAGCTCAACAATTTTAACCTTTAAAAATATATGTTGAGATATTAAATATCCCGTGAATATCTTAAGAATATCTCACGGACATCCTGAGGATATCCCATGGATATCCTGCGATATAATATCCAATAGATATTTTGTGGATGTCCTATGGATATCCCAAGATATCCTGGGGACCATTCTAGGATATCGACCATTGATTTGGATATCCTAGGGATATCCTTTTGTTATGAGGGTAGTAGAGCGTTTTTTAAGTTAATTTTTTTATATAAAAAAGAAATAATTTATATAATGTTACACAATATTTCGAAAGAGAATTTAACGACTTTTCGAATGGTCTTAACATTTTTCTTAATTTCCCACAATTTCGTAAAGAAATTCCGTTTTGAAATATTAAACTCTTGATACCTCAAAACATCATTAAATAATAATAGGTACACTATGTTAATAGTATATTACGTTAGATAACGACTGCTTAAAACAAAAATTCTTTTTTATAGTATAACAAAATTATTTATTTGTATTATGTTACCTTTCTGATGACTTTAAAAGCAACGATATCTCCATTTGCTCGCTTTTTTGCTTTATATACTTGTCCAAAAGAACCTTCTCCAATTTGACAGAGAACTTCATATTTTTCCATATTCTGCAATTACAAACTTTTAGTAATTGATATTCATACATATAATTAAAAATTATTTTGCTAATTTTAAATAAAAATTTGTATTTTTTGACAAGCGAATGCAACATTAAAATTAAAATTTAGTGACTTTGAAATTTTACTTAAAGTATAAAGTATATATATATATTTGTTCACTCAATCAAAATCTACTGTGAATATTTTTTATATACAAATAAAATCGCAATTTACAACCTCCTAATGTATACAATATCATATTTACTTCAAAGGTTATGTTTTTAAATGTCAAAACATGTAAACAAAGAAGATTAAGGGCCAACGCACAATAGCTTTGCAAAAGTTATTCATAAAGGTAGTTCCACAACAAATTGCTTAAGGTTTATGGAGCATTTACACCTTTGGTAAAAAAAATTTTTTACTTTGATTTTCCGTAATGAAAAAATCTGATTGGTTGCAAAATAAACAATTTTTTTCCTAAAGGTGTAAAGGTGCTTATATACCTCAAATTTCGATCAGATGAACATTATTTCTGGACCGTGAAAATGCGTGAAAAGTCATTTTCACGGCGGGTATTTTTGAATTGTTTTAAACAAAAAATGTTTTTTTAAGAAATATAATATTAAATAATTGTTTAAATATGTAAGAACACTTTTAAATAGTGATAGAAAAATGATTTGATTGAAAAATTTAGCAAATTTTGCTTTAAAACGTTTTCTGCTACAAGAAAGTGTAAAATGACGATGTTTGTGAAATGGTTTGTACAGTGCTTCTTCCTTGAGAGTGTCTCTCAGAGCTTTGTTTATGTTTTGTCGGTTTTTTTTAATTTGTAATAAATAATGAATGCTGAAAATAAATTGGTAAGTTGAAATGTTTATTAAATAAATTTAAATTCAACTAATTGTTTCGAATAACTGAAAGAAACTTAATATGCAGAAAGTATTTGAGAGATGAGTGGAAAATTGATTTATAACCTCAAATTTATACGCACCTACTTTCTGTGTTTCTAAATATCAAGTTTTATAATTACTTATGATTTTTATAAGTAATTATAATTAATTTTCGAAACAATTAGTTGAATTTAAATTTATTTAATAAATATTTCAACTTACCGATTTATTTTCAGCATTCATTATTTATTACAAGTTAAAAAGAACCGAAAAAACATAAACAAAACTTTGAGAGACACTTAAAAGGAAGAAGCACTGTACAAACCATTTCACAAACATTGTCATTTTACACTTTCTTGCAGCAGAAAACGTTTTAAAGCAAAATATGCTAAATTTTTCAATTAAATCATCTTTCTATTACTATTTTAAAGTATTCTTACATATTTAAACAATTATTTAATATTATATTTCTTAAAAAAACATTTTTTGTTTAAAACAATTCAAAAATACCCGCCGTGAAAATGACTTTTCACGCATTTTCACGGTCCAGAAATAATGTTCATCTGATCGAAATTTGAGGTATAAAAGCACCTTAAATGCTTCATTAAGGCCTTTCTTCAATAGGTTCCTAAATGTTTGCGTTGCGTGACTGACGCGCTGTGTCAGTTCATCGAGATATTTCGAGTTCAAGATATGACGTCAGAGGCCTGGAGGGACAACTAACAGACGACACAATGTTATTCTTATGGGGAAGAAAATTTGTTTCCACTTTCATCAATTTTATTCATATTTTAAACATGGAAAACGCTTGTTGACATATAATAAAATTAAAATGTGTGTTGATAATTGATTTTGTTATATATTTGATTCAATTGCATTGATAAATTCTCTCAATTCGTGATAAAATATAAATTTTGAGGTTAGGGGTGTTTGTTTACTAATCAGAGCCTAATCGAGAACGACTTTCGAAAACAATTGTGCATCGGCCCATTGACGTTCATAGAGTTTATTGTGGAATCTCCTTAAAAGTGTCTGTCTGAGTTCCCCCTTCCCCCATGTATCAAACTATCATTTGTGCGTTGGCCTTGACGATCGTTGGCTATTGAAGTTAAGTGTAAGCTTAAAATCTAATGCAAAAAATCATGTAAGTTCTGTAAAATGAATATAAAATCAGCAGAATATCGTGAACAAGAGTTAAATAAATTGATTACATTTTCTAAAAGTACCGATAATGTTTTGGAAAATGTCTTATCAATGTTCCAATGGACTCGTAAAAATGTGGATGAAAAGGTGAGTGAAACATAACCCTTCAAACCATACATTTTACATTTTAATATTTGAAATTCTACTATAATTTTTTTTCTAAAATGAGCATTAATTTTATTTCAGAAAAAAATACATTCATATATAAATATACTATTTCTATTTTTAAATATTATATATTCAAATATTGTTCTTCATTTCGTATTAACTAGCGCTTCGACTACGTTGCTTCCATGCTCCCTTTCATAATTTCAAAATATTGAATTTAAGTTGATTTTCAAATTTTTTAATTAATGACAATAATAATTTACCTTCTAATATAAATTCCAACTTGAATAATATATATTATATAATAAATTCTAAATAATCAATTCAATTTTTATGCAATTAATTTGTAATTATAATTTCTATTCATGAAAAATTGTTTAATATTTTTATATTTTCAAAAAAATGGATCTCCAACTTCAATTAAATTAATTTTTAAATTTAATAATTCACGTTAAAAATTTTTGAACCATAAAATTAGTTTATTTTGCAATTTAATTTAATTTTTTACATTTTCAACTTGTAAAATGAACAGTGTTTCATTTTTTCTTTTACAAAAAACTGACTATTGATTCATTTTGAAATTTTGTGAGCTATTTATTCAATTGTTAAATCAAACTTAATGATTAATATTCATAATTCTTTGCACGCAAAATTAACGAAAAAATTATATTTCAATTTATTTATATTTAAAAAATTTTATGTAATGAAATTACTATTTTGAAAAATTAAAAAATTAAAATTATTACAGTTAATTTGTAATTCATTTGTCATATGAAGAGTAATAATAATTTTGATATTTTCTTTTTTACGAAAAATGAACAAAAACGCAATATATTAATTGAAATGAGTAATTTTTCATTTCAATCTGTTGATTTAAAACTATCAATTGAGGGCTCCCTTACAATAAGGGGACGAACGCTCGGCGAGTTACTTTCTTACCAGTCAAAGGTATGAAAATGTTCATAAAATTAAAATTCGAAATTTTGATTTTTGAAAAGTACTACCTTATAGTAAATAAGAAGGCGCATCTTTTTTTCCTTTAACATTTTCTTGTAGAACGAATATTTTATTTAATAATGTTAAAAAACTGTAAATATTTTATTTATGAAAGAAGCGATTGCAGTTCCACCTATACATTTCAAATTTTGATATACGTTTCGCATTTCTATTAAAATTTCACATTCTCAATGCTCATTCCTTATTTCGATATTTTTCGAGTTCCTTATTTCCTAAAGTCATTTAAGGTATCACATCGGTAAAACCGTTTTCTATAGATTTTCTTGAAAATTTTACCATATGTTCTTATTATCATTCTTGACAAATTTGCAAAATATGAAGAATTTTCGCCGTACGAAACCAGAGATATTAGCAATCAAAGTTGCTTATTTTGCATGGGAGACAGGACTAATGTATGGGGGAGAAGTATATTTTCATAAATATCATCAGAAGTTTTCTATAAATTTTTTTCAAAAACTAATGTTGAATTCAGAAATAAATTTGGAACTAAAATATACAAAGAAATTTATAATTTACCGTGCCGTTTATTCGTAATTATAAATTAAAAATTCTATTTCATGACGTCATTTGCAATATATAGCACACCCGCCACTTTGATGTGGCAACATCGCAGGATGGTAACATTAGTTAGAGAGAGACAGTAGTCCACAGTAGTCAAAGCGAGACTTATAGCGACGTTGTCAAACCTCCTACTCCTTCCAATCGCTGCTAGTGTGGGGTATACGTGTACGAGTGTATTTGTAGAAGTAGGTACAGTATGGGCTGAGAGTATAGGGAGTTGAGGGCGAAAGTATAGTGCGGGAAGTAGTAATGCGAGCTACAAACTTTTGACTCCGATTAGTGCCGATGTGATACCTTAAGAGGAAAGAAGAAGAAGAAAGAGTTCCTTATTTCGAGATTTATCGAGTTCAGTGCACCACTGTTTTTTTAAAGAAAGGAATGGACTACAGGGTATAACATCATTTTTATTTCTTGGATCGCATAGGGTGATACTTATAGGTTTTTTTTCATTTCCATTTTCAATGTTTTAAAAATATTTATTTTTGTATGAGTTATCTTTGAAGCTTCCGTTGAAACGTAAAACCGGCTCTAATGCTCTTCAGTGAGAATTTTTAGAACTCTTTGTTATAGGGGACTTTCTGGTTTAAAATTAATAAAAAAAGACACGCTTTAAAACTTTTATTGAAAGAAAAGTATTAAAGAAATTGCAAAAATCCTTTTTGGACATTGTTGTACATTACGTAGAAAAAATATTAAAAAATTGTTTGAGTGTATTTAGATCAATTTCGTAGCTGTAAGTGGGGTCTTCCAAATGGTACCTTTTTCTTGGTACACTTGATTCCGGACAACCAATAATATATAAATTCAAAATTCAAGCGGGAATTTCTTCATAAACGTTTACTCTAGACAATAAACCTAAAAAACAATTTTTTAAAAGTTTTTTTTTTTATTTTTTATGTACATTTTTTTCAAAAATTCGCAATAACGCCGTGTTTTTGGGGTAATTTACCCCCGTATAAAAAACATGGGGTAGAAATATGAATTTTTAAAAGTTTATTCTCTAGTTTTTTTAAAATAAGGAATCGAATGATCTTTGTTTTTTTTAAATTGGTTTGGTAGATTTCGAAAAAACCCCTCTAAGAAGGGTTGCTACAACCTACGCTGCACTTAGGCTTCAAGGAATCTAAAGAAAATGAAGCTAATAATATATATTTAAAATTTATGAATCAGGTGTCCGTTTTTCAAAATCCAAAATGGCGGATCCCAAAAACCCCCGTGTAACGATTTTCAAGCAAGCATGTTTAATTTTTAAAAATTTGTCCGACATATTGGATCTGCCATTTTAAATTTCCCAAATCTGAAGCCTGATTTGTTATCAGTGACCCCAAAAACCTAAGAATACCGCAAAAAAATTTAAGTATTACTGCAGTAATACTTAAATTAAATTAATTACACAACGCGAATGTTTTTGGGCTATTTATGTACCCTAGAGTGTCAAAAGATGAAATATTCTTTGCAATTATATTTGTAAAATATTACAATTTAGAATTAAATTATTGAATATCCTGTTATTAAATCTTGTTTTTTATGGAAATTAAGCAGCTGGGTCCTTCGGACTCAGCTCAGGTACGAACGTCAAAAAATGAACTCAGACACGTGAGGGTTAACACAGGTGTATTCAACTAAGAAACGGTAGTAGAATTTTTATTAATAGACAAAAAATGTAAACCACTTCTTTTCGCGCATCAAGCTTAAGCACGTTTGGGTGTAAGGCAGGTCAGGCGCTCACGTTGATATGGCGCGCGTCACAATAATAAATTCGTTTAATACATTTCTAGTAGAAAATACAAATTTTCTCTTTTTGGAACTTAAAGAGGAGACTGTCATGTACACTTCATTTAAGTTTCATCATAATCAGAGGGGTAGAACACATAAATAATGAAAATTGTTATTAAAAATATCGAATTTTTAGGTTTACAATTTTGTAATTATATTCATTGAAAAGAGGGCAATTTTTTATATAATCAGTATAAGTTTCATTAATTTATTGCAAACGATTGTTGAGTTATTAATTTTTCTTTAAAATTTTGTTTATGCAAAAAAGACTAACAAAAATTTAAAATTTCAGAAAACGGTTAAAAGTGTTCTTTTGTTTTATTATAAACTATAGATTTTGAAAAAAGTTTTAACATTTTAGAAATGATTCCTTCCTTCCAATGATTTGTTGACACGCACGGAAAAAATTTTGGTGCACCAGTTGTACTGGTTAGTTAAAAAATTTTTGTACTTTAAAAACTTTCAAAACTCTTCTTTGGGTGTAACTTAAATCCAAGCCTTATAGAATCTGAATATTTCAAAGATTTTATAAAACTTTAGCGGACAAGTTATATTCTTCCAAGTTCCAGTGAGATCCCTGTTGAAAATTCCTATGTGAGAACACATATGGGATCCCATCCAGGATCTCTTGTGAGTTCTTATGTGGGTTCCCATACAGGTTCACACATAAGATCCTGTATGAAAAGGTTCCTGGGATGAACTTGCGTGAGATCAAGCGCACGATCTTATGTCTCTGTAAAAGCAATAACACAGGATCCCATGATATGAGGTTTCCTGTAGGTTTATAAAATCTTTGAAATATTCAGATTCTATAAGGCTTGGATTTAAGTTACACCCAAAGAAGAGTTTTGAAAGACTCATATATTTTGTCTTTTTCCTTTTCACAAACAGTATCTAAGAAAGGTTTAATTTTTACTGCCGTGAAAAATGGTTTTTCATGACAGAAAAAGTCCTATGATTGTTATTTTCCACTTGTAAAATCTAATAGCAGAGTTAAAAAGTCGATAAGTTGAAGAAAATTATAAATGTACAGTGTTTTAATTATTAACTGAAAAAATAAATAAATAGTAAAAGTTTTTAACTGAATATATCTTGTAAAATTTATGAAATCTTACAGAATTATTATTATCCTCTTCTACTTCATTTGTAAGACATTACAAATTTTCATTGATAGAAAAACTCATTCTTGAATTACCGTTATTTGGATTTTCTTGAAAACTCATCTCCTCTGAAGGCATAGTCACTGAAATTGCACGAACTTTTCTAAAAATTAGAAATTACTTTATGTTATTTACTGATCTGAATACTGCGTTTTACTTACCTGCAAGTCTTCAATCTTTCTATTGTCGTGTTTTTAATGCATAATTACAGAAAGCACACATTGCAATATTTTTGACATTTTCATCTTTTTTTGAAATGAAGCACAATTCATTCCACTAATTATGCTTTGGTCTCCTGCCTTTATTTATATTATTTTTTTACAACGATCGTTTGTTAAATAGTTAACTTGTTTAATTTTAATAAACACGGAGAGAAATAGATGGTAAGATCTTAAGATGGTTAAAAGTAGATGTTATCCGGTACCATCATTATACTACTCGGTACTATCAAAGATGTTACAAAAAATATGGTTATGTTATCCACTACAATCAAGATGTTACTCCGTACAATGTGGATAGTAACTGATAGAATCTAGATAGCTGTCCGTATATGTAAGATCAAATATGGTACCTGGTACTATCTTGTTTGTACCCCGTACCATATATTTTAGTTTTTTTTAGTTTACATTATATTACAGACAGCTAAAGACGTTATAAAACAATAGTAAAAATAAAACACACACATACATTATCAAATTCCCGAGTGCTGGTAACAATAATATTCTCTAAAATTTAATATCTCATCAATCATAAAAACCATTTTTTTTAAAACTATGATTGGGTCTTTCTAAGACAAGACCGAAATCCAGAATGTCAAAAGGGCTACGTTCGAAGGGATTGTAAAATATTTTATGCGATACCAATTAAATAAAGGACACTCAGCCACGATATGATTAAAATCATCCTTGACGATTCCACAAGAGTAACACGAGGCAGGATCATTTGACAATAAAAATTTTTTCTTTTTTATATAAATATAAGTCACATGTTTATTAAGAAGTCTGATTTGTAAAAATACACGTTTAAAATAAAGAGGGGTACTCTGACATAAAAATGTTTTACTGTCTTCAGGAAGTTATAAGACAGGATAAATTAATAAATTATTCGAATTATTGCATCCATGGATATCGCGTTGATACAAAATTTTTTTATATTTTTTAAGATGTCCACCACCTGGCTCGAAAGAGAAAGTGCTCCTGCTGTCCACTTCAGCAATGTCTTTAAAAAATGTTTAATTTGCAAGTACCAGTTAAATTTTCGATCGCTTAGGTTTGAAATGGCTAGATCTTTTAGTTTATTTAAATAAAGCTTAGGGTAAGGAGAGTCATATCAGAGAGTTTTCTCAACCATGAGAGGACCAACCGAAAAACTCGATTAGCAAGGGGTAAATTCCCAACTTCCCTTCTAACTACGTAATTAGGGGTATTATTTGGCAAACTAAAAGTACACTTAGGCAAAGGCTAACAAACAATCTAATGTAAGCGTTCCATTTTACTAGAGTGAATTATTTTAAGTATTGTATCTACTGCCGTATTCGCAGAGCTTCTTCTTTTATTTCTCTTAAAGATAAAGATTTTGGTTTTATTAACAATTACAGTAAGTCCCTTCTGTTCGCAATATAATTTTAAAGCATTAAGTTTCTTACTAAGCTCTAAAGAGGAACTCGCAAGTAGCGCAAAATTATCTGCGTATTCTAAGGAAAGCACCTCCGTCTCATGATCAATGGAGAGGCCTCTGCAACCCTGTTTTTTCAAAAATTTACCAAAGTTACTTACAAAAATGATAAATAATAAGGAACTCAGTACCTCTCCCTACAAAACACCTCCAGTAACTTTAAATGATTCGGTTGAATCATTTCCAACCTTTATTGAAACTGAGGCAGACTTATAAAAATTACGTAAAATATTTATAATTTTCGATCTTACCCTTGAAGTCAACAAACGCTGCATAAACTCTGCCATTATAATTGTTAAGATGCATTTGAATAAGTAAGATCAGGCAGGGTAAAAAGATTATCAGTACAATTTCGTGATCGTCTGTACCCAGACCCATTTACTCAGTGTATTATATAATATTTGTGTGAAGATCTTCTACATATCCGTGATATTCGTCATTGGATATAATTTTTGTCACAAAATCGATAAAACGTCTAATAATACTTGACTGAACTATTAGTATTTTTGCAAAGAAATACAAGCAATTTTTGTTATTAAATTTATATTATATTAAAATTGCGTTCACCTGGCGCAGCCGAGTCCAAAACCGTCAGGGGTCCAAGATAAAATTTAATTTATATTTAATAAATCGCGGGCGCTAATCGACTGAAGGTCGGCAGGAATAATTATTAAAAATTATAATAAAGAGACTCTATATTTATTGATACGGGGGTGATGTTGGGCGAACCCAATTAATAAAATCTTATTTCAGTGGTAGTTATTTAATTGAATCTACTTACTCTTATTTCGTTACAATTTATTATAATATCCTTTCACAGAACAGTAGTCGCTTGATCGGTACTTTTCTCATACAAAATAATTATAACTTTGACACAATGTACAGACGTCTTACACATTGTGAGCACGGAACAAGAGTAACCATGCCTGTCCTTACTGGCGTCTCGTGAAAATGGTCACGTGACTAAAATTTCTAATAGACATACAGTACCGTCGGAATTTGTCGGTACGATTGACGTGCGCAGGATGAAATGTTGATGTCGCACCTAAATTAAGATATTTTAAGTTTGAGAAATGCTAGAGACTTGAAACTTAGATCACCTGAAAGCTGATAAAATTCTGCTTCTAAATATATACCTATAATTTTTTTCGACTTTCTGGAGCGATTATAACACTGGAAAGATTTCGAAAAAACGTCTAATTTTCCCAATTTCGTACCCAGTTTTTGATTCTTAATTAAGGTGTGACATCAACATTTCATCCCGCGAACGTCAATCGTACCGACAATTTCCGACGGTACTGTATGTTAAGAATAATTCCTGTTACAATAATCTAAATGTTATCTTCGTAATATAATAATTTGTACGAATAATATATTCGTTTTTCACCCTGTTCTAAGAAAAAGTTTTTATTAGTAACCTGGAAAAGTTCCGATTTTTATTCTGAAAAACCTGAATAAGTCAAGGAATTTTAGTGTAATAAAGCGTGACAACCTTAAAAATTTAACTGTTATGTGTATTTTTAGGAAGAACATTATGTAACGTGTCCCATCAATCGTGGACATCGACTTCCTGAAAAAATGTTACAAAAGCACATAGATATTTGTCGGTGGACAGAAGAAGGTTATGATCAATATGATGTTGAGCTTTCAGAACCAACTTTATCACCAGATAATCCTTATACTATTAAAATTGGTACATATTTTATAACATTTGCATAAAAGTATGTGGGTTAGACTATTATATTTTGACCGAAGTCGTTGCGGTTTAATTTTTAAAAAAATTGACGCTTTTACAAATGATTCTGTATAATAATCACTAGGGTAAAAATTAAAAAGAATTATGTCAAAATTTTTATTTTTGTACTTTTAGTACATGTAAATTTTGTTTTGATTTAAATGTTGAGAAAGTGTCAAATTTTTATTTTGCTTTTTAATGAAGATATTAAGTTGCAAAGTTCACAAAAGGAAGAAATTGAGTACTCTGAACTTAATATTTCTTGTATATTTAAAGTAAAATTTTAAAAAGTGTCAAAAAAGGAGGAGGCTAATATTTCTAATCTGAGGTCGATTTTCAAAAATTCAAATTGGCGGATCCAATATGGAATTGAAACACTACTCGGAGGTTTTTGGGGTCGCTGATTACGAATCTAACATCATTTTTTTTAATTAAAAATGGCGGATCCAATAAGTCGGATGTCAAATGTTGAGGAATTTATATTGTATTCTATTTGTTTATTAAGTTCTTTAGCCGTCAAGTTGATTAAATGTAGTCCAACTCTCACCGCGTGGAGGTAAACGTAGATTAAACAGTCTTTTTTAATCAAAAATATTTAAAATCTAAAAAATTAAAAAAGACTGTCTAATCTATGTTTATCTTCACGTGGTAAGAGTTGAACTACGTTTAATCAAATTGACGGCTAAAGAACTTAGTAAACAAATAGAATACAATATAAATTCCTCAACATTTGACATCCAACATATTGGATCCGCCATTTTAAATTTAGAAAAACTGATGTTAGATTCGTAATCAGCGATCCCAAAAACCCCCGAGTTGTAAGTTTCAAGAGAATTCAAACGATATGTTTAAAAAAAGTCCGCCATATTGGATCCGCCAATTTGAATTTTTGAAAATCGACCTCAGATTCGTAATCAGTGACCCTGAAAATCCCCGAATAACAATTTTCAAGTGGATCCGATGAATTTTTAACATTGACGTCCACCATTTTGAATTTTGAAAAACTCATTCGATTCGTAATCAGCGACCTTGAAAACCCCTGAGTAACGATTTTTAAGCCAATTGCCTAACAATTGGTCAACTTTTTTTGCATATTTTTTTGACACTCTTTTTGAAAAAAACCCCTAAAATCTAATGGTTAATTTGACCAAAATACCCCCGTTTCACATAAAATTAATAAAAAATTACTTTTTCTGCCTTAATAAAAAGTTTTCAACCATTTAAACTAAAATCCCAAGGGGGCGAAATATAGGCCTTAGGGGCCCTCCTCCTTTTGAAGAATCTTTTCACTAACTTTATATTTGATAAGTTGAATATTATTTTCATTACTCAATTTTTGTTACAAATCATTGTCGAAAATCTCACAATTAGGTTATTTTACAGACGAACTAATAATTTTTGTCCACTTTTAAGAATTATTCTATCTTTTTTATATATTTTGTAATTGCTAAAAAAGTGCGAGTTTTCTATACCTCCTCTACTTCAAACTCATATTTTAAGTGAAATAATAAAAATTTAAACATAATTGTATTTATTTCATTTTCTAGTTATACAGAATCATTTGTGAAAGTATAAATTTTCTGAAAATTAAATCACAATGACTTTGGTCGAAATATAATGGTCTGATCCATATATTGGTAAAAATTTGACAAGCGTACCCACCTTAAAAAAATAAAAAAAGTGCGTTATTTCTGAACTTTGGGTTAATTTAGTTTGTACACAATTTAACCAAATAAAATTTTATTCTTTGGTTTTAAAAATGACTTTCCTCTAGGAGAGACCAGGGACAGTTGATAAAATTTTAAGAATCTCTTACAGTGACTAGAGCTTAACTCTTATTTGTTTATAAAGATGATTAAATTACACCTATACTATTTAATTCTGAAAAAGTATCATTGCTTTAGCTTTATGTGGGTGATTCTCTACGTGGCTCACAATTTGGTCATTGATACTAATGTCAAACCATGCCTAAAAAATAAATGTTGTTCATTGTGAAAAGTATCAATTCGATCCTGAAATCTTTTTTTGAGGAGGGCACGCTTGACGAATTTTGACCCATGCAGTATATATCTAAATTATAAGTTTTTTTTTACATATAATGTTTTCATTCACAGATGCAGATCTTCAGGCTAAAATATTACTCATGGCGAAGCAAAAAAATTCTAAAATGTTGTTAGGTTCGTTATTTATAAATTTTTAATTATTTTAAAATTAATAATTTATAATATAAATTTAAAAAACTGATTTTATTACAGAAAATTATGAATATAATCTCTGTCTCGGACACGCCATATCCTTTTTTAATTGCTTCTATAAATACGATAAAACTTAATAAATAACTACTTTATATCTTATCAATTTTTGTAAATTATAAGAACATTTTGCTTCATTTTTCCTTATACAATTATAATCAAATTAAGTTGTTTATTTTGCATTGATAAAAATAGGGGTAGGAGACCAAATGATTCCCCGCACATCGAACAGAATTTTCTCATCTTTCACCAGTGATGAACGTACAGCTATTTACGATTATGTTATTGCCAACACTCAAAAACTTAACATTGGCCAGGATATTGCAGACTTGAACAAAACGTATGTATTTAATAAATTTTCTTCTAATAGATTACAGTTGTTATAATTATGATAAGAAATTCAATCATATTCATTAAGAGGTTAGGCCACTGCAAACTTTTCAAAAAATGGAAATCCGCTAAATAAGCCGGTATTAGAAAATGTCCTTGCTGTTTTTTTAATTTCGTCAAGAATTACGAGCTGCGTCTTGTTCGCCAATTGGATAGTAAAAAATCAAGGTGTTCTAAGAAAAGAGTGGCTATCTTTTCAACAATTCATTAAATCATGTTGAATTAAATTTTTTTAAAACTCTTACAATATGTATAAAAATGTATCATAAGTTTTACTTGCCTAAATTTTGTTTACTCTTTTTTAAAAAATTCGCAAAAAATACCTTTTTTAGGCCTTCTAATTCAGGATACCCCCTTAATATTATTTAAATATAGGTAGAGGAATTACAGAAATATAATGAAAACTAACTTTAGACATAAATTAACAAATTGTAATGATCTATATTTTAATTGCCAAAGGATTCGCTCGCCAGATGGGGACCGAGTCCTTGTGTTCACTTAATTCTTACTTGTGGCATGAAGCGCCATCTATTTGTCTTTATGGAACTATTGCGTACTATGATCTAGAGAAGAGGTATAGTCAATAACAAGTCTTAGTTTAAACCTTCGAAAGAAAGATATATTAAAAATAAATATATAGAAGTTAAATAATGAATACAAAATATAAGATAATATAAAACAATGAGTAATAAAACAATGACTCGATACAATGCAAAATAACTTGTGGTTGAGTGAGTCAACCTAATCTTTAGAGTTGCTCGACGGCACCGCCCTCTATGTGATTGTTCTGGCCAGTTACTTGTCTGAAATTAAACAAAGGTACCTTTAATATTCGCGATCGCGTTCACCAGGAGTTAATCCCGTAATTTATCCATAATGTAAGTTAAGCTATCACGGCAAACGAAAACTAGAACGTGCACTCTGAGAGACGGTGCTACTTACGCCGTCTACTTTCTCTCTCTTCGCCGGGCGAGTATACTTACGATACGCCTATCGTTACAAAATTAAAACGAATAATTTTTAATTGATTAAAATTACAAGAAAATTCTCTCACTGCACGTGGTCGGGTTAATTCCAGTGCGGGTTCAAGGATTAATAAAATCAATAATTAAATTTATAAAAGATGTTATTTTGCCGGGCGCCAGTCAACTATTGTCGAAATTCAATTATTTTAAATGAAATTGATTTTTAGCATTTACTTTAGTATTTTAACAAGGAAAGGGAGAGGGGTAAAATGGTAATGACCCAAATAATAAGAACCAAGCGTTGTTGACAATTGGATTTAATAATCGGAAATTTACTTACAGTATACTTCGTCAAATACTCTATCCAAACCTTCGCTATACGAACACTCACACAATTTTATAATATAAAATTTCTACAAAGATTAATCCAGGAATGGTTTTTCCATCGAACGTGCGTTCTGCCGACGAAAATCGTCGCGCCTCAGTCTTCTAATTTTAGTCGACTATAGGAAAAGTTTTGTTTAATATTTTTAAAATAATATTTCCTGTTACAAATTATAAACTTCAATACTTAGTATTTAGTTGCAAAATTCAGTAAAGGCTATATAAATATTAAAATGTCCGATATGATGAAATGTTTGGCGCGAAAGTTGACTGAACATTGAAATTAAATATTTGTTAAATATTTGATGGTAAATTTAAAAGACTTTTTTAATTAATATATTAATAACTTTTTATTTTATTCAACAGGAAGGAAAAGAAAGAAGAAAAATTTATTTCATACTTGGATCTTTTAGTTCAAGAGCGCAATTTAAAAAGGCGCAGAGCAAAGCATCGTGGTGTTCATACGAATAAAAAATCTCATGTAGAAGTCTTACGAGAAGTGATAGAGCAGCAGATGGAAATATTTAAAGAATACCTCTCTGAACAAGATGTTCAAGATGGAAAGGAAGAAACAGTGCAAAAAATTATTGCCCCTCCAGAACATTCTATAATGACCGATGCAAATTATGAAACCACAAATTACTCTCCTGACCGTTACGAGACTTACTTTCAAAGGGAAAAAAAGGACGATCGACATTATAAAGAAGATAACAGAAGAGAATATCCTAAACATCAAAATGAATCACATCATCATTCATATAAGCGAGATAAATGTAGATCGAATGAGGAACGATATAAATCAAGAGAAAGAGAGAAATATAAAGATAGGTATCAAGATGGGTCAAAAGATGACAGATCTCGGAAAAGAAAGAAAAACAAATCCAAAGATAGACACAGAAGTAGATCTAATGTACGTAGAGAACTAAAACACCATGAACATAAAAGTAGAAAACGAAGTAGGAGTAGATATTAGTTAACTTTTGTATTAAAAAGCACTTGAATGTCCAAAGTAGTTTTGTTTTCTACAGTACGAAACAAAATTTTCAGTACAGAACATAATTATTAATTGACGTGTTATTAGTCAAGATTTGAAAAAAATTGATTTTTCAGTTTTCGTATTTTTCTCCAATTGGTCTACTTTTACTCCCATCTGGGTCTTCTCGGTTCGTGCGTCTGATATACTCAAATTATAAAACTTTTTGAAACTTGTGAAAACTGTTATTTCAGTGCACTTTTCATTTTATGATAATTATACTGACAGATTTCGATTTACTAGGCAAAAAAGGTATAGTTACCTTGTTCTACACCAATTTAGCATTTTCATAAAAAAATGCCATTTAAAATTTTTTTTTAAATAACAAATTTTAGAATATTCTCATGATTTGTTTACATTTTCATGTTTCTTTACATCTCTCAACTTGAACTTGTCTTTAAAAAAAATTATAAATCTATGCAAATGAAAGAACAAAATGTCAAATGAAACCAAATTCTACATTAAGATAACATTTTTACAAATGAAAAATAAAATTTGAAATTGTTAAATTATATAGTTATAAATATAAATTTTTATTAATTAAATTGAAAGTGAATTTGGCTTCTAGAATAAAATTCGGCATCAGAATTCTTTCAAAGTAATTGACAAGTTCCGTAAAAATTGTATCGCTTCTAAAAGTAAAACAATTGGAAAGTAGCCACCAGCGTTTAAAGGGTAAGTTTCTTAAATGTTTGATTTATTTTTCTTCTATAGTCTTTTCCTATCTGATTATGATAGGATTAATGATTATTTCTCTCACTCAACTCAGCTTATATTGATTTAAATCAAGTTTCATTTAAATTTAATTAAATGTATTTTTCAGTGGATATACTTCCCATGTTCCCTTAGATGAAAACTTTCTTTCTTGTAAATGATTCGGAGCGTATATTAAAATTAGCTTTATATTAGTCCCCTCCGGACTAAATAATGCAAGGAGAGTTGAGAAAAATAATTTGAATAATTTTCAAAAGTAAATTCAAAATATCTCTGAAAACGTTATTTTTTAAAATTTTAAAAATTTTGCAAACCAATTTTCGTTAAAGAAGCGAATGTGGTATAGTAAAACACATTTGAATGCTCTCAAACACTGTCATTTATTATAGACGATATCCTCCGAAGAGGAAAATTAGGTCTGTTGTTTTAATTTAAAAATTATTACTCGTGACACCTTTGTCTCTTCCTCTGCCTTTCGTGTTCAACAGTTGTAGTTCGCATTCGAATGCTTTGTGAATGGTGAATTTTTGGCACTCATAGCATTTGCGAAGACTTTGACCTTTTAAGGGGACATTCATTCATTCTTTATATGACCGTTGTTGTCGCATTCGTTACAACGCTGTTTAAATTAATTACATAATAAAATTTGACCAAATTTAATTTAATTTTAATCTAAAAATTATTTGCTTAAAACATCATCAAAAACTGGCCTCGACATTTAATAAATAATGAAAATTGAAATAAATAAATCTTCATCGTCAGGCGCCAATTAATTCTTAAGATAATTAATAAACTATAAAATAACTCTCCTCCTCTACTTCCTTTCATGCTCCTCTAAGAGCTGATTGATTGCACGATTCAAAATGAAAGCAGGCAGACTCGCCAAAAATTTAGTTAGGGCTATGATTTTAGCAGTTAGGTCTTCATCATCTCCTTTCTCCATCGCTTTTGCCTCAGAACGAGGAGATTGGATCCCTTTTTAGGTAATGGGATGAGTTGTTGTCTTTGAAACTTTTCGATATCCTCGAGGTCTGTATCACTAATCAATCCCCGTATTGGTTCTTTTTCATCCCTTTTTCCTTCCTGGCTCGGCCTCTTATCTAAAATTTACACAGATTTCTTTGGGGGACAGTGGGGCAGTGGTTATTTCATCCTTATGGGGAAATATTAATAATGAGGTTCATTTCTACGCTGTCTCATCGTCCTGGAACTCCGGGATCGGACGGTGTCTAGGCTGTCTCTAGGCACCTAATTTTAATAACTTCTCCGTTACTGTCCTTTTCAATTAACTTATCGTTGTTAGCAAGTTGACAATTAATTTGTCGTTTTCCATTTGAGAAGTCATGAGTAACCGTGTATTCTCATAACGAAAAAAGAGTAATTTTCATGCTGAATTGAATGATAAAGGCAGGTTTGCGATTAGTTGAGCCGCTTTTCCAGTAAGCGATGAGCTTGGACAATGCATCTTTTCGACGCTTTACATATTTGATTTTAATCACTAATGATGAGAGTAAATCCTTAAATGAAATCCACGATGAGTATTCGTCTGAGAATTGAGGCAGTGAGATTTCTGGAAGCTGTATTCGTTTGGAATGAGTTGATTCCGTTTAATGAAATCATTGATTAACAGTCATTCTTAATATAAGGATGATTTAAGAATTCATAATCACAGTTTTTACCGAGCTCATTGTGACTGCACGGAACATGTATCTTTCCATGTGAGAAGTAGTATGTTTTACTTCTACGTCAGAAGTGAGAGAATCTGTTTTTTCAAGTTGAGTGTCCCCTTATCCCGCGTTTGTATTTTTATGGGAATGAGTGCTCATTGTGAGCGTTGAATGAGAAGTTATCAAATGGAAAAGAAACATTTCTTTGTTTTCATTTAAGCTTTTTATTAATGCTTTTCAAAAATTTTCACTATGTATGTATAGTGTAAATCAACTCAAACTTTTAGGAATCCACATTAAATGTAATAAAGTTTACAAAATCACTTTTTGACAGTAATAATTATCTTGGTTGGCTCCCATTATGTATTAGCTGTCCCTTCATATATTTATTGTGAAGTCAACCATATGTTCTTTAGTGAGGCATTCGTAATTTTGCTGATAGAAACAAGTGCTCTATTTAACAATGGTATTTGCGTAATTAAAAGCACTTTAATTGGAATGCCCATATCTTCCAATTTGTTCCTCTATAAATGTTTTGTCTTCTTTGCCTCTGGTTTCTTTCTGGGATCAATTGACGAACCTTCACCACTTGCTGAGGTAATAAAGCTAGTGAAATTTTGACAACAAGAAGGTTTGATATTGATTTCAGGCTGTGATGCTAATGCGCATCATGTTGTTGTGGGCAGCACTAACATCAATAAAACAGGCAGAAAACAATAATCTGCTTTAGACATTGCAATCTTTGTTGGATGTATTCCTGTTTGACTATGGGTAGAAATTTTTAAGGCTTTGAAGTAAAATTTCTGTAAACTGACCTCATTTTGTTTCAGCTGGTTATTACATATATACATAAATGGATGATCAAAAAATTCATAATCGCAGCTATCACCGATTTGGTTGTGAGTAATTGAGAATTCCATCCATAAATCATTAAAAACTGTAATGGTTGAGTTGGCTTCGATGAGTGAATAATTTTCTAAAAATGACCGTGATTGTTCATATACTGTTTCCTGTCAATTAAGACGACCGAATTTAATACGGAATATTAGTCCTAAAATTTAATCAGGGTATACATATAAATAAATATACTATACCTAAGTATCCTTTCTAATTTTTTTTATTAAAAAAGAATGAACATCGTTATATTTATATACAAGTTATTGTAAATAAATAATGAACTTAGTAATCTCATTCGTATAGATAAATCTGATCTCAGAATAGGAGAATGAGTCTTCAGGATGGATTCTTAAAATCACTCTATTTGTCAAATTCAATGATTCCATTTACAAGAACCAAAAGTTCGTTATAAATGGAAACTAATATTTTAAAAAAAGAATTGTACGACAAGAAAATGTAATGTAAATATAAATTTTATATAAAAACAAAAGCAAAAAAATCTGTGCAAAAATTATTTTAGTAAATAAATAAAAATCAATGAAATAATAGCATTTCAGATAACAAAATGAAAATATATTTGGATGTTGATTTCTACATTCTTTGTATACAATATAACTTTCCCAAACCTTATTATAAAATAAAAAACGTAGGGGTAGGGAGTCAAAAGTGCCAAAATAAAATTGCCAACGCCAAACTTCAAAAAATATATGATATTCAACTTTAAGAATGCAACTTCACGTTGTGTGCAGTTTCATTCGTTTCTTTTTTTTTAATAAATTGTCAGTGCTGCATGAAATGTCAGTTTCTTAAATTATCGGTATACTACATGTTACGGACGGATTTCCGTAATTTTTTTTTGTTAAATATTATTTATTAAAAATAATATTTATTTAATTTAATTAATGTTACAACTATTTGTCAATTATATAACAACTGCATATACAACACAAACACACACACATATTTAAGTTTCTGATACTAGAATATTCAAACAATATTTCTAATTACTTTAACAACTATTTATAATTTCATTTTTTTTATTTATTTAATTTCTATATCAAAGCTTATTTCGCAAATGATGTCAGATTATTGAACTCAATATTGCGAAATAATTTGAACTAAATTGTCAATCGATTTCGCTAATTGTGGGACTTACATGTATAAAAGTTGCCACATTAATTTGTAAAATTGGGAAACATAAGAAATCATAAGGGTAATTCAGGTGGTTGAACTGATCACGCCACTAATAAAATGCAAGTTTGCTAAAACTTGCATGGAAACAACGAGGTGTTGATTGCAAAATCAACCCTCCCACCACTTAAAATTATATACCAACAGGGTGTGATCGTTACCACCGAATTATTCTTCGTGGAGTCTTATTTTGTTTTTCCCGCAGAGCGGAGGTATTTTTCCCGCAAAAAGGCGGACGATCATAAAAGTTTTACTCCCACTGAGAGTGGTTGAGGTTCTGTTTGTTCCCCGTAGTAAGGGTTGAAAGTGTTGAATTTATCAATAAAATACAAGTGGATATTCTACGGTTAGTGAAATCTATTGAATTATAAAAAAATCGTTTTAAAAAGAGAAAAGAAAAATATAAATATTCAATTATTTAAGAGCCATAAATGTTAAAAGTGCAAATTACATTTAAATTCAGAGAGTGATTTTTTTTACAACAATTGTTTATATCTCAAAATTAACTGTTTGGAAAATTCAGGTTTGGTGAACCCAAACTTCTGAATTTTTAATAAGCAGATTTTTGAAATAATAAAATAATTGTTTCAAGTCAATAAATATTACAAGTTTAATAAAAGGAAATTTATAGAGAACAGAGGAAGAAAAAATATACTTCCGCATGTTTGAGAATCATATATATATAATACGAAGGTCAAATTCTCAAGCGTTGGAAAGTAATTAGATACTTTTCGGTATCATTTATTTTATTATTATTTAGGTGAGTTTCTCTGGATTTATATGCACTAACTAAAAATTACAGAATTTCATAAAACATACACTATCACACTTACTTCAAATACACGAATTATTTTCTTGTTGTTAAAATCATTTCTTTTATTATTGAACTCTTTATTGTACTTGCAATAAATGTTATTTTTGTGAGACTTGATTTTGTTAATCAAGTAGCTTAAAGTAAATATTATTTAAATTGTAAACCTTTTCTATTAAAAATCAATTGGGAAACTAAATGTAAACAATTTGGGGGTTGAGTGAATAAATGTAATCTGGTTCTATGTTAATTCAAGTTTCAATTTATTCAATCACCCTTATATGTTTTTATCTCATTTCTTTTTGTTAATCGTTTTCAATAAAATACCGTCTATTCAGGTTTATTGAACGAATAATATTTTTGAGTGACAGTCCACTACCTTTTTCTAACTTGTTTAGCGAAGAGCAATTTACGCTTTCCAAATAAGCGGAATTGTTGAATAATAAAAATTAGTATTCTTTCTAAATATTTATTATTTCTCTTTAAATTATCTATCTTTATTTTTTTTGTTAATTAACATCCGTCTTTAACACTACATCAAATTATCAGTATAAATTAAATTAAATTAAGTTTTTAGTATAAATTAAATTTTCCGTAAAAATGGCAGAGTTATAACACGTTGGAAAAAAACTTTTTTTACATGCTGATAGCTTCTTATATTACCGAATTTTTAATATCGTCAACACTTATGAAACTTTTCTTCAAGAGAATAACATTTTAGGATACTTAAAAGCCATCGGCTATCATCTACACTTTTAATCGCATTTTTTTGGTCACACCTTTTAATCACACATTTTAAAAGACTTTTGTTTTTTTAGGAATTACTTTTTTGATTTTGGAAATTTTTTACTTTGCGAATTTTGGGCAATTTTTTTTGCATTTTCGTACCCCAAGAAAAGCATTGTTTAATTTGACAAGCTACTTGTAATGTAAAAGTAGAATCAGATATGACAAAAAAATTATGCAAAATTGATATTAAATACAGTCTTGAATAAGTAAAATTGGTAATATTGGACTTGATATTTTGTCTTCACCAATCTAGTTTTTTTTAACCAATTGAAAGGCATTCTAAAAAGAATTGTCAAAAAAATGCAGAATTGAGAAAAGTTCTTCTGCAATAATATCGTAAAACTGAATTAATTAAATTCATTTGTATTTTCTTTGATATAAAACTGATATTCTATAATCAAATATAAGAGAATGAAATCTAATTCTTACTTATAATACCACTAAAAAATGAGGAATGACAAAATATATTTCCATACAAAATTATTCTATGTAATTTAAAATAAGTTTGTATTTTTGTATGATGGCTTCCATAAATGATGTCACATTTTAAGGGGAGTGTAGCGCCAAGCAAATTTGTAACTACGTATAGAAAAAACAGTTTTAATTTATACAATAAATGTTACATAGAAGAGGGGGTCTGAAATTGCAAAAAAAAACCTGTCACATCAATTATGGAAGCTGCCTGTATAGAATACTTAGATCTTCGGTTTCCAATTCTATCCGTAAGGGAAAGGGCTTCGTAATGCATGCACTGATAGTTGACGCAACTAATAAAATGGTTACGAATACCATTTTGGTTAATAAACTATATTGCTGCTAATGCGACAGTCAGAGATACCATTTATAATAGTAAAAAGTTAAATAGTTGTCGTTACCATTTTATTAGTAAGGAGAACTAACAATAGTTAGTACTGACAACTAATAAATATTGTAACAGATAACATTTAGTTAGTTAACCTTACTGTTCATTAGTGTGACTGAATTAAAATAGGTTAGAAATTGAAATAAAATTTTATTCGGTTTTTGTTATATTTTAGATAAATATAAACTTATTTATTCAATTAAATATTTAACCTAATGTACAATTAAAAGGACGAAAAAAATATAATTCGCGTTTACATCTTAAATATTGTTGGCTTAGCGAGAGCTCAACTTCAAGAGACGGTCGGACGAATAGTGATGTCTTTTTCAAAAGTATGGAAGTGGAGTATTTTATTTTCCGAAACATTGCGAAAATGAACGAAAATTAACGAAGTTACAATAGTTGAAAATGATACTAAAATTACCTGGATTTCGGTACAAAGGGTCGATGTTGGCGCGCCGACATGGGTACATATCCCTTACCCCTAATAAACTAAATGAGTTCTTAAACTTTGAAAAGGAGCTTATAGTTATAAAATAGTCGATTTAGAATGTATTTACAATCGAAGGTAAAAATCCTAACTAAATAACTCAATTGCTCACCATTTAAGGATTAAGAATAATATTTTTGTTTTCGTACTAAACATTTGCACGGCAGATGTTTAACAATCATAAAAATTAGAAAGTTCTTGTCGAAATTCATATTATAAAAATATAAAACGCTATTAGGACTAAACACTTACTAATCAAATAGGTAATTCGATAAAGAAAATACAACCGCAATTATTTATTTAATATTATTCTTATTCAAAAAAATATGTTTATTATAAGGTTAATATAACTTTCGTGCTGTACCAAGTAAGATATAAATCTTATATTAATTATATTTTTTTTTGCAGTAACAGGATCTGTAACAATTCTAGAACAATGTAACTAATTATCAGTGATGATAATAAAATAACAGTGATTGTTTTTGTGTTAAAGAAGTTATAAACTGGGCAAGAAAAATGTATTGTATTATATTCATTTTCTTTGTTATTATGATACTTAATTGAAATTATCTGTTTACTAATTTGATAGGCAAACTTTTGAGATGATTGACTTGATCAACGCAAATATATATTTAATCATGGTCAATTATATGTTGCATTTTCACGAATTCGGTCTTGGGAATCTCTCAAATTTTTCTTGGAAGTCAACAAACATAAAATATTGTTAAAAATTATGTATATATACAAAATTATACATTTAAAATTAATAAATAAATTTTATGATTCGTTCAAAATTTTATGTTATTTAATTACAAAAAATTAACACGCGTGCACAAGCGCGCGACCGGTCTCGTAATTTTAAAATAGAATGTCCTATATACTCTTTGCAATAATAAACATCTGAAAAACTGTTTAAGGACTTCACAAAATAAGACATTTTCTCAAAAAATCCCATAGCCTCCCATGGTTGAGCGCGTTAAGGTGATTAAGATATTATTATTATAATAATTTAAGCTAAATTTATATTTTTTGTAAAAGATCTACATTTGTTACATATGGATAACCGGTAATTCATTTATAAATTTTCCTACGTCTCCCACGCCGGAAACTGTCCCAAATTTTGGCTACCATTTTGGTTCCGATGTCGCGTCGTATCCAACTTAGGAAACGGCGCCGGAAATTTCAGTAAAGTAGTAACTGTTAGGGAACTATATTTACTTTGGATCTAATAGAGGGAAATTTTAAATGATTTCAATCTAACTAATTTTCTATTTTATTTATTTAAATTAACATAAATAAATTAAATCAACTTTAAAAAATCAATAAGTCTTCCCAGTGTCAGGATGGCCTCAAGTCAGGGAAAAACTGGAAATCAGGGAAAAGTCAGGGAATTTTTAAAAATTCTTTAAAAGTCACGGAATTTTGATTAAAAGAAACCACAAATTAAAAAAACATTGATACATAAATGAGAGATTCTTTTTCAATCGCCCCAGCCCAAAAAGTCAATGTTCTGGGATTGGCTTCATACTTTGGTAAATTGTTGTCCCATATGATAGTAATAAATCCCTAAAATATAAACTCATTAAAAAAATATTTGTAGAAAGTAGAGGGGGTTGAAGTTTTGACGTTAAGGGTAACATTGTCATTTTCAAATCCGTATAACTATGACAAAAGTTAATGGATTTTAATTTATCTATAATGAATTTTAATGCATTTTTCATGTACTTTTCAAAAATGTATACAAAATTTAGAAAAAAAAATTTTTGACCCCTTTTTTTCAAAATCAACGCTTATTTTTCGATTTTCATCCCTTCGGGAATTTTTTTTTTATTTTTTTTATTTTCATTGGAAAGCTGAGGTTTTTTCCCATGAGCTATGTAAATATGAAAGTGGGACAACAATAATTTTGTGAGAAACATAATATTAAATTAGGCGGTGCCTACCTAAATCCTCGAAGATGATCTTCAGGTGTACCCGTTATCGGCACCGCCTACTTTAATATTCTGTTTCTCACAAAATTAGTGTTGTCCCATTTTCATATTTACATAGCTCATGGGAAAAAACCTCAGCTTTCCAATGAAAATAAAAAAAATAAAAAAAAAATTCCCGAAGGGATGAAAATCGAAAAATAAGCGTTGATTTTGAAAAAAAGGGGTCAAAAATTTTTTTTTCTAAATTTTGTATACATTTTTGAAAAGTACATGAAAAATGCATTAAAATTCATTATAGATAAATTAAAATCCATTAACTTTTGTCATATTTATACGGATTTGAAAATGACAATGTTACCCTTAACGTCAAAACTTCAACCCCCTCTACTTTCTACAAATATTTTTTTAATGAGTTTATATTTTAGGGATTTATTACTATCATATGGGACAACAATTTACCAAAGTATGAAGCCAATCCCAGAACATTGACTTTTTGGGCTGGGGCGATTGAAAAAGAATCTCTCAAATGTCAATTCAGTTTTTTTATTTCGACGTTTTTGTAATATAGCTCATTATAATGGTGCCGTCAGATTTTTCATTTTTCGAAGTTTTTACTTTTTTATAATAAAAGTTTTAAGTATAATAAAATTTTGTTATTAAACAATTTTTAATTATCTTATCTTTTCCTTTATGAATAAAATTGTCAAATGTTCAACAGAAAAGAATTCACGGTAAGAAAAAAATAATTCACTGTAACGTTCCAATTCAGTTTTTTCGCCAAACCGAATTCAGCTTAAGTTACCACCAATTCTTTTCGCTTACTCCCAATTTTTTTTACTGTGTTGACCAACATTGACAATAAGGATATTTGGATTTTGAGGATAAAATTGGTATTGAATATATTTTGATATTGGAAAAAATATTAATTATTTGATAATAGTGGAAGCTAGATTTTGGAAAAATTTGTTGGTATTGGATAACATTGGCATTAAAGATATTTGAATTTTGAGGATAAAATTGGTATTGCATATATTTTGTGTTAAAGATGAATTTTGAAAATTAGAAAATTATTCAATATCAATCAAAGATTGATATTTTCTAAAACTCTAAGAGACTTTGGTACTTTAACACACGTTGCCCTTCGGACAAATTATATTGTAAAAGGTAGTGGATCCCTT